AACAACAACAAAAAAACTGCCTCATTTTCATAAAAACACACATCTTCTTTTTTTTCTTTTTGATTCATCATCATTGAACATTGTCATTGGATCAATATTTATTATTAATATGATGAAGGCAAATTATGGTAATCACGAGATGCTCTTCGGAACAACCAAGCCAACCAACCAACCGATCCAACAATTGAAAATGATGATGATGATGATGACAACTGAACAGCTGTAAACCGTATTGCTTTTTTTTGCATCATAAGATCATGATGATCATCATTGGAAACAATGATAAAATAGTAACATTTGTCAAAAAATGACTATGTAAGTTACGAACGAGGAGAATAGGGAATTTTTTTTTGTTTTTTTTTCAACACAAAAATTGAATCAACCAAAGAGTGAATTTTTGATACATTTCTTAATTCTGATTCTGATCGAAACACGACACACACATACACTGTGGAACTATTTTTTTTTTTTTTATTTTGAGATGGATGGTTGAATTTCATTCAATCGTTTTTTTTTCATCATTCAATAATTCATTCTGTTTCTTTCAATCACTCAATTTGTGTGTGTGTGTGTGTGTGTGTGGACTGGTGAATTTGTGTTTTTTTTCATTGAAAAAAAAATTCCGCCTCTTTTTTCTCTGGTATTCTCTTGATTCTAAATTTTTGGTTGAATGAATGAATGAATGTTTGGATGGATGGATGGCTGGATGAATGGATAGATGGATGTGAATCAATGCATGAAAGAAGAAGCCAATTGACTACGACAAGCAAAATAATAATAATAAATACCATTGCTATTCAAAAATTTGCAATACACAGTCAGTCAGTCAGTCAGTCAAATTCAAAGTTACTAGTTACAGTTATAGCCGAGTCAAGTCGTCTGTATGTAACTTTAATAATATCATAGAATATACCAAGAAAACATGAATGAAAGAACCATACTGACTTGATGTATTAGAATAACAGGGTAGGAAGAAAAAAAAACTGGTCCCAATTGGAACACTAACAACAACAACAACAACAACAAGAAAAAAAAGAAAACGAACAAATGAACGTCATCCATATAAGGGACAATGTCATTCATTGAAAACAATTGAGAAAGATGAGAGAGAGAAAGAGAAAAAAATGATTCCCATGAAAGTTTCAATAATAATAATAACAGAATGGTGAAAAAAAATACATAGAGAATCGCGTTCAAGAAAAAATTCTATAGTTTTTTTTTCATTTCATATTTGTTAAAAAATAAAATGAAAAATAAATAAATAAAAATTTATTATAATTCCATGATTTTGAATTGAATCAAAACAACACCAACATTCAACATAGGATGATTGAATGAGTGAAAATAAAAAAAAGTTCAATGGATATAAGGATTTTATTTTTCATTCCTGACAACAACAACAAAAAAAACGAATCAAATTGGCAGCAACAATTTTTGTAGCATCGGTAAATAAACAAAGAAGATAGAATCAGTGTCAATCAAGAATTAAATTGGTGAATGGAGAAAAAAAAAAAAATGAAATCATTCATTCATGAATCGCATGTTTCTGATGATGAATTCTTCAACTTATTTTGTATGAATTTTCTATGGTTCTGGTTGTCATTATAATTTTATCTGGGTTTTATGAAAAAAAATCCACAAAAAACGCACACACACACACACACGGAAATGGATACCATCATCATCACTACGAAACTTGAGATGAACAAGAGATTCCGTAATAATGATGTCATGATTCATAACAAATTATGAAAATCAAACATTGTTACCGGTAAAATGAAGAAAAAAATAAACAAAACAGATTTCAAAAAACAAACATACCTGCTGTGTTGAGCAATAAACAACAAGTCGGTAATGACAACATTGTAATCATCAAAAAAATCATCATAAAAACAATGAAGAATGAATTTAATGGAAATTTTCGTAAAGTTAAATTGTATAATGATAATAATGAAAAAATTGATGACAATATTGATGATGAGCATGATGAAAAAGAATAAGCAGCTATCGATAAATCATCATCATTATTGATGATTAATTTTCGATCACGATGATGATGATGATGGTGATGATGGTGATGGTGAGAATGTGACCAATTTGATCGTTGTTGTTTCATTTTTGTCATCATCAGTATATCTGTATTTTGGACAACCATTTGAGCAGAATTATTGGCCATTTTGATGAAAAAAAAAAATTTCAATTTTCGTGTAGAATGATTTCTCTCTTCTCTTCATCATTCTATTTGGATTTTGTTTCAATTTAATTTTCCATTTTTTTTATTTCTTTCTTTGTTTAAGACTTAATTCATTCGATACAGATATATATATAAGATCCATCCATCTATCCATATATCAAATCATCTGTTTCCTGGTTTAATGTTTGTTTCACTGTTTTCTTTTTGGATAAGCAAACAAACAAATAAATAAACTTTATGAAATAAATGAAACATTCATCAACGGAAAGAAGAAAATGAACTGAATCAATGAAATCTTCATGTTGTTGTTGTTTCAAACAAGAAATACAAGCACTGAACGAACAAAAAAAAATAACGAAACATGATCAAAAACAAGCAAACAAATAAGGGCAAAGTTTGACATGATAAAAATTCTGTTTTCATCTTCATCATGATGAATTTTTCAAAATATCATCATCATAGCTGTAACGTAGTTGCAGTAGTGGTAGTGTTGAAATCACTGATGTAAAGAATAAGAATCACGATAATGATGATGGACTTTGGTCACACACACACACACACACAAAATTCATAAAATCCAAATGATAATAGGTCGAATAATGATGGAAAAATAGATAGTTATTTTAATGTCAAAATGTCACACATACATTCGAAAAAAACAGAGAAAATTCACAGAATGTAACGGTTCATTTAAAAAATTCAAAAGCCACAATCATCAACTACAACTAAGCAAGAGAACTACACACAATCAGAAAACTAAATCACGAAAAAAAGTTGTTGTTGTTGTTGTTGTGGTTTTCACTAAAGGGATGGATCACAAATCAAATGCACAAAAGATAAATGAATCCACCATTTCGTCGATCTGATAATGGAATCCTGGTTGAGAGTGAAACAAAAAGAATAAAAACGATATAAAAACATCGTTATTTAGAATTAGAAAATTAGAATTACAAGTGTTTTTTTTATTATTATTGTTGTTGTTGTTGTTGTTGTTCATGAAAAGTCATTTTGTTGTTAATGTTTGAAAATTAATTTTCAAGTATAAAATTTGTATTATAAGTAATAATTTTTGTTTTGTGTTTGTTGCTTACTTGCCATTCTTTTTTTTCAAGTATTTTTTTTGTTTCGAAAATCATCGGTCCATTTTGTTGGAAAGGCAGTAAATTTCATCGGAAATTATTTTCGTTTCTGTTGTTTACACGAAGTTTAGAGCTGTTTTTGTTTCAATTGAGTGATACGTGTGTGTGTGTGTGTGTGAATGAATCCGTTAATCGATTCGTATCGGTTGAATGATCATTGATTGTAAATACACACTTGAACAAAATACTGAACGATGCATGGACATGCTAACATTAATGATGCTGATGATGATCACACACACACACACAAACCAAAGACGAATAATATTTCGGATATAACTTACAATATTGAATTGATACAATCATCCTTCAATACACACACACACACAAACACTTTAACTACAAACTAATTTTATCAAAATTATCCTTATCATCGGCGAAAAAAAAATTCAGTCATCATTGTTGATATAAAAATGGTGATAAATGTTGAAATGAAAATCGAAAAAAATCCAAACAGCAAAAATAACGGCAATGACAACAGTAATCACATCATCCGAACAGGGACCAAAAAAAAAATCTTCCCGTCTGTTGCTGTTGGAAGACACTCACACACACACACACAACAGTCGGTTGATCGGTCCGAAAAATGGCCGTATACAGTTGATCCGCTCTGACGGTTGACTGAAACACAACTGAACTATGGATATTTGTGTGTTTGTGTTTGACGACTAAATGAAAATGGAATCCATACGATGATCGAGATTCGATTCCATATATTTGGTTGATTTTTTTTTATATTTCGCCAGCGCAGTTCTGCGCGCACAGCTTATATATGCCTTGAATCATTGGCCGTGATGGATACGATCCAAAAAAAACCAAACCACGCACCCACCGAAACAAGCAGATCCGAATACCAGAGTTTGTTTTCATTTCATTCTGGTGTGTGGTAGACGTTTACATTAATGAAACCAATGATGAGATTCCAAATCAAAATGTTTAGCCCTCTTTTATTATTATGATTGTCATTATAAAATTGAATTGCATACAATTCTAGTTGGATCAATGCACTATTTTAATAATAATAATGGTACCCAGATCTGCAGATAAGATATTTTATTGTTTCGCGTATTACCTTTCATCATTATAACGCACACACACACACACTGAATGGTGATATTAATTTCACTAGGATTTGGCATTCATCAGCCCTTGCGTGTCTTGTGTATATGTTTTTCCCATATAATCATTGTTATTCTCGCGCGACTAGATTTTCCCATTATTTTTATTATTACTATTCTCAGGGATAAATCCATTTCATTTTTACTTCTTTTTTAATGGTATATGGAAACCTGGGTGAGCTTACCCGATTGATGACATTGGACGATACCAAAAATGATATTATAGCCCACCCAGTTACTGAGTAACGTAAACCAAAACTCACATATGGTGTCGCATGTCATGTGGCACCATGTGATGCGGTGATAATTTTTTTTTTTTGCAAATTTAATCACAGAATTGTCATCTTTTTCTTCGATACAATGGCTGACAATAGAAATGATTGAACACGCACACACTTCGATGAATCAACTCAAACAGATCGATCCAAATTAATTAATTTCAAGATTCTAAATGAATGACGCAACAGGAAATAAATCAATTTTTGTAATGAATACGAAAAAAATTTATTTTGAAAAAAGCAATGGTAACAAAAAAAACAACAACAATGTGTATGTGTGCCATCTATCGAGATGATTTTGATGATGATGATGATGATGTCAAAATTTCGGATTTTTGTTTCATTTCTTTGGTTTACGTACAAATGATAGAAATATACGTTCCAATGATGTCTGACAAATGGAATAATCTTCAATCATTAATAAATCTTTTGATCGTTCAATACTGCCAAATAATTGACTTAATTTGATTTGATTCGTTTGAATTTTGTATACAATCATATTATTATGAACACTGTCGATGAAACATTCAAGAAATTTCGTACGCATAAATCGATCCAATTTCCTTATGGATTTTTCTATGACTGGATTTTTCAATTTTATATGAACAATATAACCGGCACCATATTTTTGTTTCAAATGCATTGGACTTCCCAGACAGGTAATACGACCATGTACCATAATTATTAAACGATTACATAGTGCTTCACATTCTTCCATTGAATGTGATGTCAATACCAATGAAGAACCGGCTTCACGAACCAAATGTATTGCATTCCATAGACAACGTCGTGATACTGGATCAACACCGGTAGTTGGTTCATCAAGAAATGCAATCAATGGATTGCCAACAATCGACTATTGAAAATCAAAAATAAAAACAACGAAAATTAGATTATTATTTAAAACGTATGGATGTAAAAATTCACTCACAATTGCAAAACTAAGTTTTCGTTTAGTTCCACCACTGTATCCACTAACTTGTTGATCGATATGTTTTTGAAAGAATAACAGTTTACTCAATGCATCAATTTGTTCATCGATAATATTTTCGTTAATTCCACGAATTCTTGAAATAATTTTCAATGTTTCCCGACCGGTTAGATGATCGATAAGACCATCAAATTGTGGACAATAACCAATGTCACGGTAAATGAGTCGAATATCTTTTTTAACACTGTTTCCATTAACAAGAATATCGCCACTGGTCATGTCGACGCTTCCAGTTATCATTTTGAACATTGTTGTTTTTCCAGCACCATTTTCACCCAACACACCAAAACATTCGCCACGTTTAACGCCAAAACTTATATTACGTACAGCTTTGAATTTGCCATAATTTTTACAAACATTTTGTACAATCATTGAATCGGATCGATTTAATGAGAAAAGATTACATCGTTTTAGTCGATTATTTTCGGCTTCAACATCGCTTTCTTCGGATATTATTTCGTTTAATTGATTTTTCTTATTATCATTGATTGATGGTGATAATTTCAACCAGATTTGATGCAGCCATTTTCCTTCTAATATGGCCAATATACACCAATAAACGGTTCCTTGAATAGCCATAGCAACCAAATAGGAACCGATTCCTGGTTTAATAAATGAGAAAAAATTCTCTTCGAAATTCCAGCATGAATCGCCACATATTTCTTTACAACAAATTCTAATTAATCCTATATTCAAAGTTTCATCGTGACAAAGTTCTTGAATATTCACTGTTTGTTGATATATTGTAACATTAGACAGACAAGTATTTAATGCCATTGCATTCGATGATAAATCATATGATCCTATGCCCATAATATGAATAGGTAAAATGGCCGAAAAAATATAATCAAGTATTTCGCTTAATTTTCTAAGATCCAATGAAGGTAATGTAAGAATCAATACGACCAAAAGTGTTGATGTTCCCATTATTAGTATATATAATGCAAGACGAACATAAGCGGTTGCTGAATTTCGGAAAAACAACGAACAAATATAAACCACTGGCAATGCTGCAAAACCATGTGTAGCAAATATAAGAAACAGGCGACCTTGTTGTCTCCATTCTCTATAGCTGGTCACATCTAGCCAATAAATTATGGCACATAACATTGATGATGAAATCAGATAAATAATGTAATCAATAATGAAATTACTAGTCCAATATTGAAACATGTTCAATCCACTAATCTGTTGAATGTGTTTAAAATTCGTTGATTGTTCTTTCACCAGGAATATAATAAAACTGGCCACCAGAAAAGCAACGGAAAATTGAATATTATTCGATACTTGTATCTGTTGAGACATATCGAATCCAACGGCCTGTAAATTATCAAACTGTTTACGTGGAAATGGATGATTCCAGATTCTTAGTTGAAATTTTTCACCAATTAAATATTTGATTATTGTTTCATCAATATAAGAAATAGAAATGGCACTAGAATGATATGCTTGATTATTAAACATGGCTATAATTTTCATTCCATTTTTATCCATTCCAAATATAGCCGAAATTATATAATACATGTTGAAACGATCTTCATGTTTGGCACCATAGTTGGCCAGATATTCAATAGCATAATCACTGAGTTGATCGGTTTTGTTTACTTTTTCTGGAAATTGAATTTTTGAAATTGAAAGAAAAAATATTTTTATAAAAAAAATCAAATCATTCATCATGCAAATATTTACCATCGATAATGGTGGCCGTATGGGCATTTCGTATGATATTTTGATACAAATTGGATAGTGAATTTATTTGTTGATTTTCATCATGAAATACTGTGGCTTCAATTTTATGAAATGAATCAATATTTAGCAATAATTGTGGTGAATTTATGGTTCGTTCAGACTGATTTCGATTGACAACGATACTAAGGCCCAATAACAAGGCGGGTAAAATGAATTGTGCAAACAATGTGAATAGATTACGATAAGTGAACAAAATCTTTTTGACAAATAAACTATAATAAACTTGTATTTGATGATGGAAACCTTGATTCAATTTCAATGAATTATGTTTAATTTTTTCAATCACTGATGATTCATTGCCAAATTTATCATCAAAATGTTGTGTATTTTTTTCATAAAAACTATTTATTTGTTCAGTGCCTTGTTGAGCAAAATCACCCACACGTAAGAATACTTCTTCAAGTGTTGTCATTGAAATTCCAAAATTTACAATACCAAGTTGTGTCATATTTTGTTCAATATTTGCAAATAATGATTCAAATTTATATGCTTCATTTTCAGGCAAACTAAATGTCACTTCACGTCCTACAGAAGTTAATATTTTGGCATGATGAACATGTGATCGAATTAAATCGGTCAAACGTTTCACATCGATTTGTTCTTCTTTAACAACGAAATTTAATAAATAACCGAGGCCATAATTCTTTTTCAATTCAATGGATGATCCAAAACATTTTAATTGACCTTGTTCCATGATGGCAATCTTATCACCAAGTACATCAGCTTCTTCCATGAAATGTGTCGATAACAATATAACACGATCTTTTTTCTCTTTGATCAATAGATCCCAAATGAATCGACGAGCTGAAACATCCATACCGGATGTTGCTTCATCCAATAAAACAATTTTCGAATCACCTATCAATGCTATGCCTACGGAAAGTTTTCGTTTCATTCCACCCGATAACGTTTGTGCTTGATTATGACGTTTGTCAACAAAATCCAACATTTTGATTATTTTATCAATATGATCGTTGATTTTTGAATCATTAACATTTTTTAGTTTACAATAAAACCACAGATGTTCTTCAACCGTTAAATGATTGAATAGCACATCAAATTGTGGACAAACTCCAAGACTTTTTCGTATTTCATCAAAATCATTTTCTGTATCACTGCCATCGATATAGATTGATCCAGAACTTGGTGGTATTAAACCACAAAGGATCGACATGAGCGTCGTTTTTCCAGCACCATTATGGCCAAGCAATACGGTGATTTCATTTGATTTCATCATCAGATTAAAATTCTGTAATGCTTTAATTTTGCCATGATTATAGGATTTTGTTAGACCACACAATTCAATGCCACGTTTATTTTGGCTAAAATGTTTATCCTGCATTTCAGTATCATTTGAAGGTGATCGATTTTTTGATTTTGATTCAAACCAATATGAAGGCTGTAAGAAATAATACCATTTTCTTGGTATACCATATCTACCGGGAAAAACATTACTGATATATAATGCTAAAATCAGATAGATTATCGAATCTATGGCAAACATCATCAAGATGTCCTGGAATGTCACACTATCATCCAATGTTGCTGGTTCGGCTAGATTGGACCATTGTAAGCCAGCATGTTCACTTTCCCAAATCGATATAAACATACAACCCAAGGCCATATTTGTATTGAAGAGCAAGCTAATTAATATTTTGGCCACTCGAGATAGTTGCCTATTAAAAGAAATCAATAGCAATCAAATGAGAAAATTTTCATCTTCAAGATAAAACTTAACTGATAATTTAGACTGACGCTTAGATATGGTATGAACGATAGAAAATAAATTGTACCGGCACCTATTCCGGCTATGTTGGCCTTTTTTGGTGTTGAAAAAAATGTAAATTCAAAAAAAAATTAAATTGATTTGTTTTCCCCAAAAAAACAATCACTACTTACATTTGTGAAAAATGTACTCAGTAAAAAACAAAATAAAATCGATGATATCATATAGGCCATGAAAAAAATAAATATAAGGATTGGATTACTATTACTGATGATACCATGATCCGGTTGAAATGATATACAAAACAAAATTGTAATGAATATTATACTGATACTATTCCAAAGAATTGAATCAAAAAACCATGATGACCAATACATCCAATCTTTTAGGCTCATCATTTTCATTGCTTCTTTTAATCGAAGTTCTTTTTCCAAAACAATATTTTTCACAAGATTAACATTTGGATAAATGAAACTGATCATCATGATAATTGGAAACATGAATTGAAGTGAAAACATAAATTGATCATTATTGTATGGTGGATATGGAAATCGTAGAATATTGTAAGAATGAACATTATCGAAAAATTCTAAAGTTGCATTCGGATTCTGTTGATAAGCATATGCACGACTGATAAAATGTTGAATAAATAAAAATCCACTTTTATAATAATCAGGTGGACCTCCATCATCAGAATTTTCAGACCTAGGGCCTGGTTTTTGAAACATTGGAAAATTTTTTAACGTTTGCCACGTAAATTCATTCACTTGTGAGAATTCAAAGGTACTGCTTAATTTTCTCGGTGCAAACGAAAAACGGAGCTTAAAATCCAACGAATCATCCGTCAAAGAATTGAACCAAATACCACATCGTATCGAATCCGAATCTTTCTGAACATAATAATCGACCATTTCCTCTTCTGTTTCAAAATTCAGAACTTTGAAGCATTGTGTGTGTGTGTGTGTGTTTAAAAGAATTTCCATATTATTTAATGTTAATGATAATGATTAAATAAAAAAAATTCAACGCTTACCTTTTATGCCTTTTGTGAGTTTTGTAAATATATCCATTAATTCAATTGTTCTGTTTGTTTTTGGACCAAACAGAATCATTTTACTGTTGAATTCATAGATACTAGATAAGCCTTCAATTTCTCGTTGCTGGAAAACAGTAGCATTGGTAACACGATCAAATGATGTTATCGTACGAACAACAACCAAAATGATTGTAAACAAACAAGGTACAGCTAATTCGAACAATAGAATCCATGGATGACGGATACGAAGTTTATAATTTTTCCAAAACAAAAGCCAGAATCGATTTAAGCCAAACATTTTAATTTTTCAATTTTGTTTGTATTTTGTTTGACTGATCATCGATTAAGGGTTGATGTGATGTATTTCATCGGCAGAAACAGCTTAAGATTCCATCCACAAACAATGGAAGGTATTTATGGGTCGCAATCAATCAGTGCCAATTGATAAAAAAAAGTAAAAACTTGTCATCTACGCTTAACATGAATGATCGCGGTTTTTTTTGAAAAAGCACTCAATGATTTTTGAACTAATAATAATTATTTTATTTTTTATCATTTAAAATCATTGTGATTGTAACCAAGGAAAGGACAATTATAATGTCTATATATGTAAATAATGATTAAATCAATCGGATTAGATTAACAATTATTTTAATGATGATGATTGGAATAGAGCATATTTTTGCAAAAAATCATTACAAATAAACGAGGGTAGACATTTTAATGCTTTCTGGTATAGATTAGTTGATTTGACTATATCACCCATATCATACATTGCATATTTGATATAATCAATCCATATTTGTGCATCATCATTACCGAAATAATGTATTAGATCTTCATATACATTGGCATATGATTGTTGTCGTTGTTGTTGTTGATCATCTTCTTCATTTAATGAATGTTTTTCAATTTCGATCATTTTTAGAAAAAAATTCTTACATATAGGTGATACGGATTTATTTTTTTCATAATAAGCACGTGTACGATTGATGCCCATTAGATGATAATTGATGGCAAGAATTTTTGGTTTAAAATATTCAGACATTTTACGTGGACAATGATTCAGTATTTGATTGTTGAAATCATTAATAATTTTTAAAATTTTCTGTGCCTGTAATTTATTTTTCAATGACCAATCAATGTATAATTCCCAGAAATCCATGCCTATACTAGCATTGTTTTGGTCAAAATGAGTAAATTTTTTCATAAGACAATCATCAAAATATTTTTGTACAATTTTTTGATTTTCTGAAGGAAATTTAGCCATAAAACTACCAATGAATAGATGTAGACTTAAATCATTGGGCCATCTTTCGGCACTATCCAATAATAAATGTTGAAGTCTTTGCATCGCTAATTGATTACTACGAAAACAGGTATAATAGAATCGAACCCATTGTTGAAAGATTTTCATTGTGATTTTATCAACATTCCATAATGTTTCTAATAGATGTAGAATTTCAGATGCTTGATCCGTAGTATTGTTGTTATAATTTTCTAATAAATCTTTAAATCTTTGCCATCAAATGGATTATATTTTTCATGGGAAAAAATTAGACAAAATAAAAGATAAATAATAGAAAAACAATGTCCGATAAATGAGGATTTTGCTTACCTAAACTCGAGATAAAACTCCCACATCAAGGCTGTATCGAATCGTATGCAAGCTTTTTCAAATATTTCCACCGTTTCAATGATGGCATTCTTTTTGATTGCCAATTTTTCATCATCATTTTCAGCCATATTTCCACGTAGTTTTTGTTTATATTCTTCATATTTATTCATGGCCATAAGATTCCAGAATTCTTCACGATTATCAAATCTAATTTTAAGATCATCTATAATGGATTGTTTAACCTCTTTGGTTGTTTCATAATCAAATCGATTGCAAATGTCAATAAAATTGGCTGCAAAATCAAACTGATCATTACGATTGATTGCATGCCTATAAACAATTAATGCTAATTTTCCATTCCAGATATTATCTTTTGATTGTTTATCACTCCATTCTGTAGTCGATCTACGATAAAATTATATTGTAAAAAAATGGGATTATTAAAATGAAAAATAATGTACTTTATAATTTGTACTTACTTTTCATCGGAAAACTTTAAAAACAATTTAAATCTTTTACGAATTTTGGCACAATATAATAGTTCAAATTTAAAATATTCAAGCCATATCACTTTGGATTCTGGATGGAATGAAATTGCTTTCAACATGATCTTACGAGCTGTTTGTGATGATGCCTTTTCTTCGAATTCAAATTTAGCATATTGAATCCATAACCATGGTTTATTATGAATCTGTAACATACGGAAATAAATGATCGACACAAGATCGTACATCTTTTGATTTTTCACAAAATCTACATATGATAACCATATTGATATATCCGATTTGAATTTATTGATGGTGAATTCAAATAATTTTTTTATATGTTCAATAAAGCTATATTCAATTTCATATCTATCAACTTCGACTTCAAGTTTATCGCAACGTACACGAATCAATTTCAATAGGCTTTCTTCATAGGCAAGATATTGTAGAAAATCATCTTTATTTTTATTCACTTTACGAAGACGATATTCAAATTCTCGACGTTTGCCTAGAATGGTTTTGATTTCCGATGATTTGAATAGATGATATTTTTCCAATACAGCTAGTTCAAGTATTGATGTTTCAAAAACTTGTTGAACAATTTCAGCCATTTCAAAATATTTTGCACATTCAAAACATACACACACACACACACACACCAAGAAAGATTAAACCTATTGACCCAGAATATAAACAACAACAATTCAACAAGAATCTATCTATTTTTCCAATGCTGCATGCAGTCATTTGGAACACGTGTGCGCGCATCAATTGAACTCAAGTATTCTTGGTTAACCATCCATAGAGTACATGTTTGGATATACATTATTTTTTTTATCATGAAGAATTCAAATTCAATTATAAATTTTAAAAAATTAAGATTATTTAATTAATGTTATCGAGGAAGCAAATACAATATATTCATATTATATGAGAATCAATGAGTGTATGTGTGTGTGTATGTTCAAACAGTCAATCTGGCACATTATCTTTTACAAGATCAAATCAAGTATTTGATTCGAAGTAAATTGTTCCAATTATTCGTTGGTTTAATTTTAGTGATGTTGAAAATGGAAATGCAAAATTCATGATTCAGTTAGTAATGAAATGATGAACAAATATAAGTAGACAAAGAAATGAATCAAATGGAATACCATTCGTATGAATGATATTTTAATGTGAGTCTTGAGATTACCTCGTACATGTATCTCGGATGGATCATAGAAACACATACTGCTTCGTGGAAGAGATATATAAAAGCTAAATGATTGATTGGATAAATCGAAATTAAGAAATTTGTTAATATTTGGATATGATATATCAGAAAAAAAGAACTCAAAATTCTTACTTGTAGATGAGATAGAATAACATGGCTAAATTGATGGCTAATAGAAACCAACGACTTGTCAATAGAATTAGACAGATATTTGTTCCATGAGCTATTAGTTCCGGTATGATCCACTGTCAATCAATCAATCAATCGATCAACAAATTAAAATCAGATTTGATTCAATTTTTCATTAAAATTACCTTGTTCAATCTATCACAACATTGTATTGGATTTAGATAATCACAATCCAGATCGCTCAATGTGATTAGCTAAAAATTTTTCAAAAAAAACAAATGAAAAATACATATAGAATGATTATAATCGGATAATAATTTTAAATGATCATCATCATCATTATTATTAATTATGAAAATAGCCATTATATATAATCAAACGTTATGAATGTTTCTCAATTTCATACGAAAAGCTTACTATGTAGATTGAAAGAAAAAGTAGAGCGCCAGTATCAAGCAAAGCAAAACCAAATAATGTTACGTTAATGGCCATGATTTTTTTTCTTTATTGAAAATTTTGGAGATTGATGATTTAAAAAATAATGCTTGATAACGCTTCAAAACGTTTGGTAGCGATGTACTCGCTTTGATGATGAATGTTTAATCGTTTACCTGAAAGTCGAAAAACAACTATTTATAATCAAATTAAGGAAAAGAAAATGAGAAATGAATTCTGACGAAAAATCGAATGATGATCAATTTTGACGTTTATTGCCAATTCTTTTGTAAAAAAAAATGTCAACAACAAAAACTGAACTAGTCTTGTCTGCAAACTTATTAATCCAAAATCGGAGAATTTTCTGCCATCTATTGACAAGTATTTGCTTATTCCATTGGAATTGGCCATGTGTTCCATTTTTATTTCAGCATTCAAACGAGAGAATTTTAATCGATAATAAAATGCCTCGAAATAAAGAAAAAATCCGGATAAAAACTTCGTGTGAGTATTTTTTTCTCAGTCATATTGTTTCGATATAAATTTATCATCATAAATTTATTTGTAGCTCGTAAAATCAGACAATTTTCTAAAAAGCGTCTATCACGAAAACAATGTCGAATGCTAAGACTTCATCGACATCATCAAAATCCCCAATCATCTCAAGAATTTAATGTTGAAGAAAGCATAGTTGACTCACCGGTAAATACTGAAGGCTTGATCGTTTATCCTACGGCTACACCTCATGTTCGATATATATTGGTAACCGATTTGCAATCATCATATGAATTACAATCCGATCTTTGTGGTCATCTATCGTTGGTACCATTTACTAAATGGGCCATTTTTTGTGAAGGATATCAGGCCAAAGCTGGTGAAACTCTAACCATTTCCACATGTTTCAGGCATCGAATATTTATTCGTTTTACAGATTATCGAGATTTTAACGAAAATCAAAAAAATAATTTAATCAATCTTGATGAATTTGACTTTCTCGAACAACATCTTCCAGGAGTTTTAATTGGCGATTATGTTCTTTTGAAATTCGAATCGATCCCAAAGTCAATGGCTAAATATAGACTTGTCCTTGAATATCTATCTAAATCATCCAATGAAAAAGCTAGACAAATTTGTCGAAAAAAATTGTCGACCATGAGCGACAAAGATCATATGAATATTTTATCAAAAATATCCAACATCGATTTTGAACAATGTACATTGCATATCCTAAAAATTTTTCATACTCTTAAAATTAGTAACGACGATGTTATTCTAGTGTATGGTCAAGCTAATTGTGGTAAAACATCATTGCTACATTATCTTATAAATCAATATTTAAATAATAGAAATCAGCCTGTTGCTTACCTGGAATGTGATCCTGGACAACCGGAATTCGCTCCATGTGGAATACTTAGCTTAGTTGAGATTAATGGAAAAATATCCAACGCTTTGGGATATAAATTTTTATTCAACGAAAATCATGTACTAAATGATGATGAAAGAATTAAATCAAAAATATTTGGAACAATTACACCATCTGGCAATACTTTTGAATATATTTCTTTGATCTCTCAACTTTATCAATCATATCGGCAAATGAATGTAAAGAAAAAACGACCATTATTCATCAATACGATGGGTTGGATTGAAGAACTTGGCCTGGAATTATTGACGAATATCATTTCTATAGTACGGCCAACTCATATAATTCGAATCGAAAATGATTCTCCATCGTTATCCGTTTCAGATTCATCCATGATAAACATCCAAAATCGAAAAGAATTAGAACGAATATTTAAATTGAACTTGAATGTCGACAGTGATTTTCAAGATTTAATACAATTAGTAGATATGAAAAATTCCATTGGCCATCAATTATGGATCACATTGTTTCCTTTTATTTCAAATTTTAAACCTACTATATTCAGTGTTTCATATTTACGACGTGAAATCAATCAACTTTTATATCTATGTTCGAATCTATGGCCACAAATTTCATTCAAACCATTTTATTCAATACAACCAATTCAGATTCGTATGGAGAATCTTTATATTCATTTCACAAACTATCCAGCTATGGTGCCTAAATCTATTTACATTCTTTTGAATGTTTCCTGGGTGTTTCTAGGAAGTTTAGATCCTAATGAAATGAATGAAAACATGAACTGTATTGAGATATCATCCATTATGCAGCAAGAATTGCCATCAATTAATAATCAAAATAATGGAAATATGATAATAAAAAATTCAGACAGACAAACGTTGTCGTCGTCGTCGTCGTCGATGGACAAAAACATCAAACTATTACATCAATTGCCAAAAAGTGCTAAATGTTTTGGTTGTGGTATAATACGAAATGTTGATCCAGTTCATTCATCCATCTTTGTAACAATATCATCCATACATCATTTTGGCAACATATTCAATGCGGAAAAAAATAAGATTAATTTTTTAGTTATACCGAATTTAATTCCAATTCCATCCGGTTTATTGGTTGAACAATTTTTATATCAAGATTCATGTCATATACCATTTGTATATATTCGTAGCTAGCTATCATTATTTTTTTTTTTGTTTGTTTGATAATAATATTGTTCTATCTACTTGAAACAAAGAAAATGGAAAAAAATCATCATTAATAAACAAAATCTCATTTACCTTTTTCAAGGAAAAAAAGTGAAACCATTTTCCTTATTCTATTTTTTTTTTTTTTTTTTTTTTTTGATTAATCTTGTTTCTATGTTTTTATTCAGTCTCATTTCTTAATACCAAATCGACTATATTTTTAAGAAAAATAATGGAATTTTGTGTGTTTGTATGTTTTTGTGTGTGGAAGGTGTGTTTATCGCAAGCATCGTAAAAAAATGAAGATGCTTAGATAGTTGTTGTTGAGAACTGGATTCATATTTCGAAATCCAGAATATTGTAAATATGGACCATACCCAATGTGTGTGTGTGTGTGTGTGTGCATGTATGATGTGAGAGCCATCAGCTCAAATAACCAACAACAAACAATAATCACCATAGATACAAAAACACATACACAAACACACACACACACAGACATTTTAAACATTGTCATCATATTCTGGTTTCTGGTTTTTCTGGTTATAAATTCTGAGTCGTCATGTTTGTAACGTTTGTCAATGGTTGTGATGGTGGCGGTGGTATCCAAATTGGTGGCCTACACACAATGTGGATTTTTCTTGCTCTTTTCGTTTGTAAATATTTTTTAACCGAACTGTATCGTTGTTGGTCGGTTAGTCGATTGATCTATCTGTCTGTTCCTGTTTGATATCTAATGTTTGTATTCAAGTTTTTTCTTTTCTTTTTTTTTATCCCGTTTTGTGTGCATATATATGTATGTGTCTGTTTTTTCTCTCTAAAACTTGGTTATTTTACTTAAATCATTGCCGTTACATTCCGGAAAAAATTATATATATCCCGTTCTAGTCTTCATGTATTACCGATTAAACATCATCATCAGGATCTATAGATTCTAAGATTGTCATGCGCTATAATCATCATCTGAATAATATATTGTTTGTGATGTTCCGTGATAGTAAAAAAAAAGTTGGTCGAACGGTTATTTTGGTTACCGTTCGTTCGTTTATTTTGTTTGTGAGTTCGAGATTTTATTTATTTTATTTTTTTTTTTTCGTTCCTATATACTCTTCATTTATTTCTGTGTTTATTGTATACAATTATGTTTTATATATATATAGATAGATAGATAAAGATGATTACGGCGCCATGAAACTTGTGTGTGTTTGTGTGTTTGCTCAACAATGGAAAATGGTGCCATCATTTCATCATTAGCCAAGTTTTTTTTTCTTCCACTTTTTTTCCTTGCTACTACTTATAATGTTTCATATATTCACTTTCTCTGGTGAAGAATATTCTCGGTCGAATCGTATGATGATCACAAAATGTTGAATATAATACGAATATAACGAAATCAACTTTTCATCCATATTCACCAGAATCACATTGAGAAAAAAGAAGAATCATTTTTGTTCATAGCTGTTGTTTTTCTGGGCCATCGATGAATAAATTGTTTAAGAGTGTGTGTGTGTGTGTGTGTGTGGTCGGTTTCTGGTTTGATATCAGAATGTGAATTACGCCGTTAGGTTTAGGCCTAAATTCATTTATTCGATCCATCCGCATGATTACGTCAAAATTATTTCAAAGATTCCGGTATAGGGGTAGTGGTGTAAGTGTGCGTATTTGTTTTATATTTGTGATCATCATCATCATCACCACCACCATTATAATCATCGATTCCTTCTGATCATTGGTGAAAAAAAAAATTTCTTCTTTTTAAAATTCTTTTTCACTATACATGCATTTGTCTTACTGTTGTCGTTGATTCTTATTCATTCAAACGTAATTAATGCGCCTGTTCCAGAAATTTCGTTTCTCAAAACATTTCTTTAATGCAGAAATTTTGTGATAACACAATATTCTATATATTTATTATATTCATCGTTGACGCTAGTCTTTATAAAAATTTTACTCAATCATCATCATTATGGTCCAGTCAACCAGTTAGCCAAATAATGAAAAAATTGATCCGATGTAATATATAACCACCGTTTACATTATTATTACTATACATATCGTCGTCGTTCGAGAGTCCAACAATACTACAAATGACAACAATCAATCATCATGATGAATGCAACTGATGAATTAGAATGAAGCAAGTGGCCAATCATATTTGGCTATCAACAAAAAATAATGATCGATTCACATTCATATTGATAAATCTGTACAGAATTTCGGATTTACAAACTCCCATAACAATTCTAGTCGAATAATTCATATATATAATATTCAACTCATCATTCTTATTGTTCAATCAAATCGAAATCAAGCCTTTTTCATACATTGTCCCGAATGAAGAATTGTACGTGAAACTTTCATACATACAATCTTAATATGTTGAAATGCATTTATTACAGAATTTTTTTTTCATTATTCTTATTCTCTAGGGCTGTTTGGAGCAAATCAAACTTTTTCATTCAGAAAAAAAATTCCACGATTCCAAAATTCAATAATGAATTTTTAAATTCAAATTCATTTCCACAAATTAATTGCCAAACACATCGATTGAATTTTAGAATGATCAACTGGAACAAACATAGACACACGCCTACGATTGAATGAAAAATTTTCATTCAAACATTTGCCAATGTTTATCAGTTTGTTTTATATAACTTACGGTTATTTCAATATAAATTCAAGATTATTTGCTTCTGCTGCTACTTCATGATATCGTGTTGAAACGAAAAAAAACCGACAAAAGATAATTGGTAAATAAATACGTGGCCACAACATTATCGCATTATAAAATAAATATAAATGTGTGTGTGTTTGTGTGCGGGTGTTGTGATAAAAAATCAGTTATATTTTTTTCAGGCTAACAAAAGACTAATGTTTGCCTAAATTCAGTGAAAACAAAAAACAAAATCATCTAATGATTGCCTGCTGCCTTGTTTTTCATTCATAGAATCTCTCTGTTGTTATTGTTGTTGTTGTTGTTGTCGTTGTTTTGAAATCGTTTTCATTTTTCACAAGAATATTCTGGATTACGAAAATTGAAATCAGATTTTTTTGCATCAAGTATTTTTGCACACATTATTGTTTTGATTTTGTGAGATAGAATGATGCACGAAATGAATCGGCCACCAATTCAGCCATATAGTTAACATCATCAAAAACTAAACAGCACATGTTGTCGATTTCGACAAATTGACGAATATCAAAAAGAATCGTTTGAATTTTGAAGAATCGCTGTTTTTTTTGTTTGTTGTTGGCTGCCAACTGTCTTTATTTGTTTGTTTGTGTGTGTGTGTGTGTGTTTATTCTGTTTTCATCGTGTGTGTGCTTGTGTTTGTGTTTGTGTTTAAAGTTTTTGTTTGAATGATCTCAATTTTTTTTCAAATTTTGATGATTATTTATTTATTTAAATTCAATCTTATTTCGAATCTTATTATTTGAAACATTGAATTCAATATATATATATTTTTTGTATTTGATACTCATTCATTCATCGTTATTGATCATCATTCAAATGAATTCTATTTGAAATTAGAGAATGGTAAATTCTGACAATCATTCCATTAGGAATTGACGAATTTATCAAATTCCTATTTTAAAAATCATCAGCATTAAAAATGGATGCCAATCACCAACAACAACAGCAGCAGCAACAACAACAACAACAACAACAACAGCAACAGCAACATCAATCTTTATTATCACCTGGACACGTGGTCAATTATTTATTAAATGTTATTTCAACATCCGCTGTCCAATTAAAATCTCGATCTTACTTTAACAATTCATTCAATGGAGCTAGCAACCTTATTTTGTTTGGAATAATTCTTTGATAAAAATTCTACTTTACCGTTAAATTGACAAATCAATTTAAAATTTTTGATAATAGAAATAATTCGATATTCAAACCGATCAAACCTTTCCCAAATAATATTTTATCCGATCAACAACTCTTTATACAATAGAAACTTAAATTGATGGGAAACTTCATTCATCAGGTTAATTCGACAGGTGACAATGCTAATTGAGCTAATTTCACCAATATTTATGAAAACGTTAAATTTCTCAATTAATTGTTTTTGGAGCAGTTAAATCAAGGAATTTAGGTCTTGAAAATAATCTGGAAACAAGTGATCTTGCAATAAAACCTCTCGTGTTTGGCAAGGATTCTGGTGTGGAAAATGTTTCAGTGTGAACTGTTTTTACAGAAGATGTAAAAACTGTAGTAGTTGGATCCGAAATTTCTAGATTTCTTCCGAAATGTTTTGGTGTTACCAAACCTGATGTATAAACGGAAGAGATCCTATCACCGTCATTTTCGTACCTTGTTGGAAGAGATAAAGATCTACTAACAGATTTAGAATCTAATTCAGAAGTTAGTTCTGTTATCATTATCAAACAAGTTGTAGCCAAATCAATAATGGGAAGAACTTTATTACCTTCTTTCTCCCCTTTATCTACTAATGACATAGTGTTGACTATTAAATCACGTAGATCTCCCAAATGGACATACAATTGTTGAATACGGTCGCTAGTCAGTTCTCTAGCAACCTCATCTTTAATTTCCAACAAAGTCTTGTGTAGATGATCAACCTTCAACTTGGCAGTTTCGATAAGATCATGAGTCAGTGATCTTGTTGTGGCCATTTTAATTAGAAAAATTAAAAAAAACAAATTAAGAATTTATTTACAAGCAAAACTTACCAAGAGAAGTTTTATGAAAGAACGATGGCGTGTTATACGACGTATTGGTGGTGGTGGTTTTGGCGAAATATTCGAATGTTTAGATCTACAAACGAATCAACATGTCGCACTAAAAGTAGAATCTACACGACAACAAAAACAGGTTTGTTCAAATTTCTTTTTCCGTTTCATTGATTGTTGTCATCAACAACAACAACAACAACAACCAACGACATAGAATTAACGGATTGATAACGAGATTGATTAATATATTTGCTCTCATAACTTAGATTTAGATTTAGAATTTTTTTTTGTTATGATAAAACATTATCAGATAGTTATCTGTTATTTTCTTTCAACCATTTTTCAAATTATCATTCAGATTCTCGGAATGACAACCATCGAAACAAACAAACAAAAAGGATCATGTTGCTTTAATCATTTTTTTTTCACTGTGTTTCGAAGACAACGTCAATGTTTCACTTACCTATGTATGGGAAATAAGATACATGTCAATGATAAGAATAACTTTAATTCAAAAAATAATGGTGTAGTTGTTTGTCAGTGTTTTTTCTCTTGTTTTTGTTGTTATTTGATGATTTCAACATTTAAAAAAAAAATTCAGAATTCTTGTTAGCTAACTAAAATTGATGGTAATATATGATCATATCATCGTCATCATCATCATCATCATCATTATCAACACCATGTGAGAATTTATTGAGAATTGAAATTTTTTTATTTTAAGACAATTTGTTTGTTTTCCATTTGTTCTGCACAAATATCGTCATCATTTAGATTTCTATATAAATGAATGAATGAGTACATTATATTCTTGATGTGTTTGTGATAAACATATTCTTGGCTTTAAAAAAAAATTTTTTTTTCAAGTTCTTTTGATATAGTAGGATTCTATTGATAGATTTTGTTGTTGTTATTTTTTTTGTTTGTGTGTAAGTAAAAGAAATGGGAACCCCAACAAATGAAAAATTTTTTTTTTTTTAGAAAATGATTACATTTGATGACAACAACGTTTACAACAACAACAAAATATTATGATCACAAAAAAAACATGTTGATTTGTTGTTGTTGTTGTTGGTTGATGACATAGATTGTAATATAATTATTTGACATAATAATAGGTACTCAAAATGGAAGTGGCTGTACTGAAAAAATTACAAAATACATCGGCCAATGTATGCCGATTTATTGGTTGCGGACGTAATGAACGTTTCAATTATTGTGTGATGTCAATGTTGGGTAAAAATTTGGCCGAATTAAGACGTTCAGTGGTACAAATCAATCAGAAACCGGCATTTAGTCTTTCAACTGCATTACGATTATGTCAACAGATATTACAATCAATACAGGCTATACATTCAATTGGATTTCTTCATCGTGATAGTGAGTATTATTTTCACTTGTATTATTACATAATTTTGATCAAAAAAAAAAAATGATTAATTATTTTATTTTTTTTTCACTAAATTAATTTTCATAAATATTAAAACAACCAACAACAAAAAAAAATCAATTTCAAACCTAACCCAATTTACACATATACAGTTAAACCTTCAAATTTTGCAATGGGACGTAGTGAAACTAATTCCAAAAAAGTATACATGCTTGATTTTGGTCTCGCCCGTCAATATGTCATATCGAATACGAATGAAGTACGTCCACCCAGAATCGCAGCAGGTAATATGATTGCAAATTTTGCACATTTTTTTTGTGAATCATTTATAAATATCATGATATTTTTGATTGATTGACTGACTGACCGACTAAATTTTGTTTGTTGATGATGATGATTATATCGAGCTCTGGTTGTTTGAGTTGTTTTTTTTTCACAAACAGAAAAAAAATGAAATTTTTTTTTTTTGATTCCTCTAGGTTCTGCTGTGTTTGTTCTATGTATAAAAAATTTTTTGTTGTTGTTTCTCATTTCTGGTTTTTCTTTGTTTTTTCTTTTTTTTTTTGTTGCTGTTTTTGCTGCATAATTGCATAATATTGCATAAAAAAAATGTATCTGGCGCCCATTTTTCTGGCTTGTCGTTCATAATCCATATTTGTAGGCTTTCGTGGAACAGTGAGATATGCGTAAGTTATTCTCAAATGTTTGACCTCGATTCTTTCCTTTATTCTCATTTTCTTTTTTTATTATTTATTTTTTGTTTCTCTTTTGTTGTTATTTGTTTTTATCCATTTTCCTGTAACAAAAACATTTATTGTTTGTGTATCGCTGTCAAACGTTAATTTTCTATGAATATATGGTGGTGGTTTTCTTGGATGATGACAAAACAACAACGAACAAATCAAATCAAACACAACAAAATATACAAAACATAGGTCCATAAATGCTCATAAAAATAAAGAAATGGGCCGACATGATGATTTATGGTCATTATTCTATGTGCTCATTGAAATGGTCAATGGTTCATTACCTTGGCGTAAAATTAAAGACAAAGATTCTGTTGGTCTAATGAAATCAACATTTGATCATCGTCTACTGTTGAAACATTTACCTCAAGATTTTAAACAATTTTTAGAACATATTGAATCATTGACATATACGGATACACCCAATTATCAACTATTGTAAGTATCGATAGATTATAGCTAATAATATTTCTGATTTAGTTTTTTTGGCAATTATTATGTTAAATTATAATGTTATTTTTTTTGCAATAAAGAAATTCAATATTTGAACGAAGCATTAAACGACGCAATATCCGACCTGATGATCCTTATGATTGGGAATTGATTAGCCAGAATCGTGACATGAACAATGAGAATGAAATTTCTGTCGGATATTATTCTGACAATAATAATAAAGCAAAAAATAATTTCAATGCAAAAAATACTGAACGTGCAAATGATATAATCAATTTAGCCAATTCATCGAATGTTTTAGCTACAGCCACCGGGAATTATGCCGGAAATCATGTAGCAAATAATAATAATGGCGATGATGGTGTAAACAATAAATCATTGACAAATAAAATTAACAATTTAAATATTGGTACAACCATCACCAATAACAAAGATGTTAGTCTAGTCACACAAATGAACGCTTGTGCTGATGATCTTTCATTGAAGCCAAACACTACTGGTGATCTGGATAATAAACGCAACATTACACAGTATTGTGTTTCGTATGTATTATGAATTAATCGAATTGAATTTTAATTAATTAATTTTTCCTTTTAAATTCATCAATCAAATAGTAACATGTGGGAAAAGAGTGTGGCTAATGATGAAAATGAATGTAATGATGATCAAGATGATTGTGATGATCAACCTGTAATCGGTATTGGTACACATAAACCAAATTCATCTTCGTGTGGTGATCCAATACAAAAGCAACCATCTTTATCGAATAATAATAATAATAACAATGATATTGATTTACAACAACAACAACATCCACAATCGATGACATCATCAAACAATAATATCAATCACAATCACCAACAACAGCAACGACTATCGTCAATGTTATATTATGATACGGCTGCAATAGCAACAACAACAACGGCGACTACGACAACAACAAATGGACAGAATAATAACCAAAGATCGCCATTGAATAATCCATTTATCAATACTCATAATCAAGCAATTGCTCAACAATTATCGACTTGCAATAAGTTGATTAATAATAAGATCGTTGATTCTAAACCAAGTGATGTCGTTGCTGATGACGATAGTGATAATAATGATAATAATAATAGAAAATTCATAGCAAACAAAAATGAAAATTCTACCAATCGTTTGCCTTATCATCATCATCATCATCATCACCATCAACAACAACAATCGCAAAATTATTGCAAGAATGGTTTTAATGACGATAATAACGGCTATGTTAATCATCATCATCATCATTTAAATGATGTACATCATTTTAGCGGTGACAATCCAGCTGATTTACAAAATTATTGCCATCCGGCTATATCATCAATAAAACCATCGAATACTTATCCAATTATCAAAGATTTGAATAAATTGCGATCAATGAGTTTACCATCAATGATTGTTGGTCCTGTTGTCGATGATGATGAGGAAGAGGATGATGAAGAAAAACCAAATGAAATTGATGCTAACATGATGGATTATTATAAATCTGATAAAAAATTCGATGATGATGATCATAATGCCGGTAGCGGTGGTGGTGGTGGTGGTTATAGTGCTAATGAAAATTATCATCATTACTACCATCATCATCATCATCATCAGCAACATATTGGCTATCAACAACATCGGCAAACATCACCGTATACTAATAAAGGACAATATTTTGATGATAGCCAATCAAAACATACTAGTAATAGTAACAATGAAAATACTATCAGTGGTAGACAGCAAAATAATTCGAATAGTCCAAGAAAATTTATTCAAAGACAACGAATCAAAACATTATCTGATAGTAAAGAATCATCAACTTCAACAATATCATCACAAAATCATCATGCTCAAACGAGTAGAAATTCAAGTAGTGAATCTAATAATATTGTTGTTGGTGAAGAGGTTGATTCAAAAAATATAATTTCAGAAGAAGATGATGATGATGAAGAGCAACAAGAATCATCCGTTCGACAGCTACAACAGATACTTCCATCACCACCACCAAGACGAATTTTAGTGAAACCCAATAATGCCATTGTCAAACATATCGTTGATACTAAAAAAGAAAGTGAAGAAGATGTCAAAGATCAAAGTGATGAATCAGAAGAAGGTGATGATGATGATGATGATGAAGAAACCAAAGTGAAAGTAGTTTTAAAAGTGAAAAACAATGTTATCATCAATCATCGTCATCATAATCGTGATCATCAACAACATCGAACATCAAGGATTGATGGTGAAGAGGTGAATGGAAATATTCCACCCTTATCATCATCATCATCCGCATCGACGAAAAAAATCGAAATGAATACAAACAAATCAAATTGTAATCAAAATCCTTCGTCAATATTGACGTCGATCAAATCCTTATCCATCAATACTACATCATCTAATCAAAACAACATTAGCAATAATTCAATTTGGTCATACACATCAAATGGTAATGTCGTATCACGAGCAAATATTATCATAAGACAACCAAAAAATAATAATAGTCATTTTAATCAATCGCAACAACAAAAGCATGATTGTGATCAACAATTTCATAGTACGAATAATTATCATCATCAAGGAAATAAAAATAAAAATAATGATGATAATAAACAATCTCGATCATCCGGTTCATCTAGTAGCTATGTATACTATTATAAGAGCGATAGTAAGAATTCAAGTATGGCTATCAACAATAACAATATTGGTGATAATGAACAACAAAATGGTAAAATTTCATTGTTAACAAATAGATCATCATCGTCATCATCAACATCATCGTTGAAACATTTATCCAATAATGTCGTTGTTGGCGGTGCTGGTTCCATCAGTTATTCAAGTATTAATAATAATCATCATCAAATTTATAATCAACAAAATGAACGATTATCAACTTCAAGATATGATGATTGTCTAAGCCATCAGCAACTATCGAATCGAGATTGTGTTCCGATGTCTCAAGGTGAAAGTAGTAATAGTAATAGTTCGGTGACGTCAAACACGACTAGCTCAACATCTTCCTCTTCATCTTCATCATCATCATCGACCAGTCAAGATTCTTCAAATGTTGATAATAATACTGGTGATATGGCCGGTAATCATGTGCCTGGAGGTGCTAATTGTTTTAAACGAATTCCGTTAACCGGACGTGATAATAATAATGATGATATCATGGTGGATATTAGTGGCAGTCATAATAGTAGTCAGACAACAAATGGATTAGAAACACCATCCGGTACACCACCACCATTAGTCGAAGTGGTTTCAGTACGCCGGAAACGTTTTTTTATTAAATAAAAATGCATAAAAAACCTTTATCCATTCTTCTATGGATGAAGAAAAATTTTTGGCCAAAAAACAGAAATTTGAATCATTTTTTTCCTTCAAAAAAAATTATCCCACAAATACTGTGTCAATATCATACAATCAAAAAATTATCGATTTATCAATCACAAAATAATGATTCAACAACAATCTATTAAAATTAGTGAAATTAGAGAAAAATTGTTGTTGAACAAAAAAAATTTCTGTGAAAACTAAGAAAAAACTCCGAAACCAATCCACAAACACACCTAACCATTGAAATTATTTGTGCAAATGTTCATTATGAATCTCCCACAACAACAACAACAACAACAAATAAAAGAAATTCAGCCAAAATAAAAACACGCAAAAATTCTTGATACAAAATTCAAATTCAGAATTTTCTTTTGTTCCAGAAATGAAAAATATATACATTTGTCAACAGAAAGACAAATTTTCTGAATTTGTTTTTTATTGAGTTTCAATTTTTTTTTTTGATCATAGGATTTGCAATTTAAATTTATGTTTATTTTTTTTTTTTTTTCTTCGGTTCCATAATTCTCAATCATCACATACGTAAACATCCAAACATACATATACATACAAATTCATTGTTTGTTATATTCTTTTTTTTTTGTCATTTTAATTTCATTTGTTTTTTTTGTACTATATATATATTATATATATTATATTATATATTATATTGCCATCATCATCCACACTATTATTATCCACTATCATCATTGAAAACAACAGAAAAGAAAAACATTTTCAATTTTATTCATTCACATTAAATTTAATGGCATCATAAAATGACTAATTTTCCATTCATACATTCATTCATTGTTGCATTTTGAATTTGATTACAGTTGGTTCGCGTTTCCGTTACCATCATTTCCGAATCGAATCAAATTTGATAGATTTGTCGATCAAACAAACAAACAAACAAACAAAAAAATTAAGACGAATCAGCCGTTTTTTAACCAGTGTAATATCCGTTTGTAAGTCTATGATGATTATGTTAAATGTGTTGATTATATGACATATTGATTATATTTTATCATTATGATGATTGTATCATAAGGCTGCACTTGAACGATATGTTTGTTCTGAGATCATTTTTTTTCTATCTTATGTGTTTATATATAAAATTAAAAAATGTTTGCCCATATATTGATTATTTATCATTTTGGTGAAAACATGAACATGAATGGATTTGAACATTTAAAGTTTATCGATAGTTGAGGTATTTATATCTTGTTCACGTAGCCGTTTTTTAAATCATCTTTTTTTCTGTTAGTTGTTGAATATTGATGATGTTGTTTAACGATAATGTTGTTTTGCCATTTTTGAAACGAAATTTCATTCGTATTCGATTGATCAAAGACTTTCATTGTATTTGCTTTAATTCAATTATATTATTGACTGAATGAACATCATCATAAAAAAAATGAAGTACGTGTTCAATTTGGTTTTTTTCCTATGTTCTCTGATGGTTGTTTTGACTAATTGTTCCAAAAACAATAATACAACAACAACAACAACAACAACTTCAACAAAAATAATAGCCACAACGGCTAAAACAACAACAACAATTATATCTGTCGATGAGCTTGTCGATCAAATCATTAAAAATCAAAGTAATATTACTGTTTTACCGAATCGTATTGGAGAAAATTACACCATAGAAGATGATCGTGATATAAATCCTGATCTGATCAATGTTTTAAGTTTTTTGCCACCTGATTTTATGAATGCTCAATTACGTCGAAATGGTGGCTATATTGTTCACATTTTAATATTCTGTTATCTATGTTTTGTTTTAACATTGGTCATTGATTCATATTTTGTACCATCATTACAAATGTTTAGCCATGTTTATGGATTATCACCAAATATTGTTGGTTCAACATTAATGGTATTAGGAACATCATCACCGGAATTGTTCACTTCAATAATTTCCGTGTTTATTGGTGGAAAATCAATCGTTACCGGTGCAATTGTCGTATCAAGCCTATTCAATTTATTGGCTATTCCAGGAATATGTGGCCTAATGGTATTGACACCAAGAACATTTACATTTATACGTATAAATGCATGGCCAGTACGCCGTGAAATTGTCTTTTATTCGATTACAATTGTTGTATTCATTCTGAGCATCAAAGATGATTCAATTGATTGTATAGAGTCATTGATATTTATTTTCATTTACACTGTTTATATGCTTTGTCTTTATCTTTGGTCAAATTTCGAGATAATTCAACAGCAACAAAATCGACGAAAATTTTTCCATGCTCAGGACCGACCTTGGCTTAAATATACCCATTATCTACAACAATCAAAAATCAATATGAAACCTGCCATGAAAAAATTAACGATTGCCAATCCACAACAACCGTCCACAAGTGGTAGCCAAGAAAATAATAATAATGGTGGTGGATCAACACTTTATCGTGGAACTTTTCCACAAGATAAATATCTAAAATCGATATTGATACCATTTCAATGGATATTTTCAATAACAATTCCAAGAGTTAATCGACGATCATTCATTGCAACATATATACTTTCAAACATTTGGATTGTTGCTATAACCTATTTTCTTATGTGGATGATATCAATCATAAGCAAAGCTATTCATTTTACTCATTCAAGTTCAGTGTTAACCATGTTAGCACTTGGTAACATAACCAAAATGATATCTTCAATCATTGTCATTAAACGATTACATTTAGTCGATATGGTAATATGTCATGCAATTGGTTCAAATATTTTCAACATTCTTATCTGTCTTGGATTACCATGGTTTCTAAAGATTTTCATATTGACCGTGAAAGAAGGTACAACATTGGAAAAATTACAAGCCTATACAATTGATATTGATTATCGATTATTTGAATATGTTGCTATATCATTAACATTATTATTACTAATATTCATATTTATATTCTACTTAAGTAATTGGAAATTATCAATCAAATCTAGCTATTCATTTACTATTTTATATATTTTTTTTCTTGTATGTTTACTCATATTTGATCATTATATTTCGATTGTATAAAATGGTAATGAATTTAAAAGTAATAATCATCATCATTGTTCGTTTTTTTTAAACCAATATTTTTTTTATATACAATTCATCGGGTTTAAATTCAAATGAATCAAATGAATATGATGATGATGATGATGATTATGTTGTTGCTGCTGTTTTGTATTGTTATAAATTATTAAAATATATATGACATTATGGATATTTATGAGGTATATCGTATTGTTTAAAATTTTTTTTTTGTTCTGTTTACGATTGTTTTCTGATGTAATGATATTGATGTTTTTATTTTGTTCAATTATATGAATAATGATGATAATGATTATGGAATGAAATGATGATATTGCACAATGAATGGATATATTCATGAAATGAACGAATGAATTTGGATGGATAATTTAAAATGATTGTTTTGTTGTTTGTATGTTTGACAAAAAAAAAAAAAATAGAGAATAAATGTTTATGAGAGATCGAAAAGTTCCACAAATAATTGTCCAGCATTCTGTGGATTAAGATCCATATAGATACGGACAATATCTTCGGATAAATGGAATAGTTCTTCAAGTCGATGCATCAATGTTATGAATGATGTTTTAGCTGCACATGAGTCACCATCATGTTTAACATGAAGATAACGGTTTAGTAAATAACAATAGTTGAGAAATTCTTCACTGATTTTAACAGATAGAAAAAATCGATAATTAATTTGATTTTTTTTCAAATATTAATTGCACTTACTGGACAATATCTGGCACCGATATCGTTGCTCTCGATGGCCGGAATAGTATTATGGCTGTTAGCTATAATTATTAACAGAATGAAAAAATGATGTTGAATTTTTTTGACATAAATGTGCAAAAAAAAAAACATACCAAATCGGCAATAACATTATCATTACGGAATTCTGATTGATATTTTATGGCAAATTCTTTATGTGATAGAAAATTGATCTGAGCAGCAGTGAGCACTTCCATAGAAACCAATGAAAGGCCTTTATTTTGGTCATCGATGAAATACCAAAAATTATTCTCGACATTAAAATTGGTTGTGGCACGAATGCAAAACATTTCAATTATAGAACTTTTAAGTAAAGCTATCTTATCACTTTGTGATAGACGATTAAATGAGCTCAATTTATTGGACATTTGTATTAATCGACGAATGGCAGCTTCGGTCACTTGAACAGCATCTGTTAAATGATGTGTATTTGTATTTACTATCTGTTCATATGGATTTCGAAGCAAAAGACAGGCTTTTTTCAACTCTTCAAGTCGCTCATTTTCGATTGGATATAATGTTTTACATTTTTCAATTTCTAAAAATTCTTTATAACCGGGCATTCGTTTAGCTGTACTCAATTGTTCGGCTTGTTTATTGATCATTGATTCGAATACTTGACGTCGCAATGGTACATCGCACATACTCATTTTTGAAACAGCAAATATAATCGATTCTTTAACCTGATTGATTTCTTTTTTCAATGTATCCAAAGATGAATTCAATCCAGAATAATTTGGTGAATTAGATTCACTTGGATTTTTTGATGAATTATTAGGACCATATGATGTACTAGGCGAATTTGTTGTCGCTGTAGTTGAATTATCTTCAACATCTTCAAAATCGTTACACATTGTTTCTAGGGCAGGTGAAACAATGTTTGGACTCACTCTGGTAGGATTTGAATTAGGAATTTCCATCGATTTCATTGATAAATTTTTCATTCCTAATGAAAGTAAAAGAAAATCAATGTTATTGAATGAGTTTGTTGATCAAATGAAATATTTAATGAAAGAAAATAGATCGGATTTCTTATGGGGTAAAGTACAATACAGCATGAATTTTTGTTTTGAGAATATGTAGCTATATTATAGTTCGAATGATTAACGTTTTTTTGAATATAGGAAATGAAATGATTTTTAAACATGATCTTTATCATTAACAATCGATATAATTACCTAATGAGTTCATTTCCATGCGTTGATTGTTAGATGAGTCGAATGAATGTTGATTGTAAATGATTTGATTATATGAATTAGTTGTTTCCTGTGACGTATTCTCGGATTTTTCATAGCTAAATTGATTTATTGAAAAGTTTGACGGCGAATTTGTGGAACCCATTGTCGTCATAGATGCTGATTATGATTACAAAGCTACTTTTTTTCCTTCTTTCACTCTATTATCGAATGTTGTTATATAATTTTCTTTTTATTCCTTGTTTATATTGGAGTTTTTTTTTCGTTTCTCAATACATACAGAAGAAGAATGATTCCATAGTATTATATGGAAACGTAGGAAAAAAAATAGAAGGAACAAATGTATCGATCAGAAAATATATATTCGAATGAAGGAATCATATTATTGTATAGAATGTGGTCGTGTATGTTCACACTATATTCTTCAATGTTTGTCAAACAGCCACCATTATTGAATCAATTGACATGGAACAAAAATTTTCAAAACAAACAAATGATTAAACAGGTAAATCATATATGCTGGGGGTAACGATATTACAAGCATCAATTTGTTGGTTTTTTTATGGTTGGATACGCACAAATAAACATGAATGTAATGTAACAAGACCAAAGTAAATATTTTTTTTTTACATGCATCATTGAAATGGCCACATCATTTGAGTCCTATAGTATAGGACAATTTATAATTGAATGTAATTTTTTTTTCATTCGCATACATACTATATGAACGGCAACCATCGAGTAGCATGGAAAACAACAACAATTTTTTTTTCCAAGGCCATTTAATATGTTTATATATGCAGATTTGAGTTTATGAGAATAATATTGCTGAATTTCAATAATCAATCATCATCATCATCATCATCATTTCTTTAATTTGTCATTCAAATTATTTACTATCCTTTCCGTAACCATTTATATTGAGTGGGAAAAAAAGGAAAACAACAACAACAATAATTTCAATAATAATTGCAACATGTCTGATGATTATAAATTGTTTTCTAGCGGATCATTAAAATTAAAACAAAAAACAACAACAATTCTCTCGGACTAAGCCAAAAAGATAAAAAAAAAAAAATAAAACAAAGTGAAAGGTCAAGATTTAAAAGCGATAATCGAAACAGCCAAATCATCATCATCATCATCAACAACAACAACCGCAACATCAATTATTGATAGTGATTCAAATTCGAATGAACCGATTGTTCAACAACATGATCAACAACAATCATCATCATCATCATCTTGGATGACCGAAGCGCAGAAAAAATTCTTAGCACAACAAGAAAAACGACAATTAGCAAGAGTAATGGCAAAAGCATCAAAAACACATAAACAACGAGTAGAAGAATTTAATAGCCATCTGGAAAATCTCAGTGAACATTATGATATACCAAAAGTTAGCTGGACGAAATAATCATAATCATGAAAACCACGTGATACTCATCATCACCAGATTTTGAAATTGATCATTATGTAAATTAATTTTCATTTTATTATAATGTACATTGCTTATTTAATAACTATGATGATTTTTACTTTATTACAGAAAATCATATAGTAAATCAGGCTTTTCAATGAATGTTATAATAATCGAAGTGATTAATGAAAAACATACGGCCAGTAAAATGTTGTTACATGAAGCAATGATGAAAATGATGATCATTGACATTAAATAAAATACATATCGTATATATTGAATATATCGTTTCCATAATTGCCATATAATGTATTCATCATTTCGGATACAATCATTACTAATTGTCGATCGTTTATAACTGGATGAACATTGGATACACTAAAATATTATCGTAATTTTGTAAAATAAAGAAATAAAAATTAAAATGAAAATCAAGATCCAGATGAAAACCTTTTTCATTACCGAATTCGATCCATGTCCAGTGCAACCTTCACATGATTCGTGACAAGCTTTTTTTTTGTCCATTTGGTATTATGAAATGGGGGAAAAAAATAAAACAATTAATAATTTAAAACAATAAGAATTATTAAATTTATTAATTAATGTCTTCAATTTTTCTTTTTGATTAAATTTTTAGTATCTAAAAATCGATTAATGAATGATTGCCATGCAATCTGATTTCGTGTACAGTATCCCTGATAATATTGTAGCATACACTTACGATAACATCTATATGAGCCTTGTGTATTGACACAATATGTTTGAAATTTACATGGATTCAATTCAACATCCGATACATTACATTCATCGATATCGATACATCCTTTATCATTATCACGAAAATATCCAGTACGACAAACATGACAACCTTGTGGTCCAAGTGAATGACATGATGAGGCACAGGATTGATCACAACGAATGCATTGTTCAGGAATGTTTGGAATTTTTTTCTCAAAATTCATTTCAATAATGCCAATAGCCAAATAATTTGGCGAACATTTTTCACAAAATTCGCCATCGAATCCACCAAGACAGATACATTTTCCTTGGCCTTTTCGTGTACCATTACCAGAACAATATCCACGATTATAACAAACATTATCCGGATAGCCATGACACGGTTGACAATCGGCACCAAAATGTCCATCTGGACAACAAGCCTGACTAAGTTGATTGCATAGATATTCAAATAATGTGATACCCTCTTCCAAATGATCTTGCCGTTCTTGTTTACGATTCTTTAAAAACCAATCTTCAATTTCACTTTCATATTGTTCAGCAAAACTATGGCACTGATCTTTGCCCAATTTGACATCATTGCAAAGATTTTCTTGTATTTCAGTCAATCGTATTTCACTATCAGCATAATTGTTCAATTTACTTTCCTCCCAATAAGCATCACCACCTTCATGTTTTCCGCGAGCCGTTCGTTTCAGACCCTGGTATAAAAATATCAATTTTCTATATGTATGACATGACAAACAATAACACATACCTCTTTGAAAGATTTAACCAATAATTTACATCTTTGGCAAGAATCTAGAATTTTTTCATCTTTTTGATGTAGATAGGCATTGATATGATGACATTCGAATAAAATTATTAACAAAATGAGTGATAAAAGTGTAATAAATTTGACAAGATTTTTTTGATATTTTGTACACGTCACATAAGAATTGTTTTGTAAATTGAAAAATTGAAAAAACAATCTACCACTTTGGACGACCATCATATCAATGATGGAAAATGGTTATAAACTGATGATATGATGATTGGAAATTGAATTCCTGAGTAAAAATATGGAAAATTTGGTCAAAAATTTAGAATGGAAATAACAAGCCGGTTCGCGAAAATTCCTCTGTAAACGTCGTTTGACCAGCAACAATCGACATGTATTGTTTGAATGGATCCTAAATCCATAAAAACAAAACAATGAAAAATATTTCGACTGCATCATTCGATCATTGATCTTTGTTCGTTTTTTATCAATCGACAAAGAATTATAATTTTTGAATCTATCGAGATGGTAATGAAACTATCAGACAACTATAAATTGGCCACTGTAGCCTTTGAATCGACAGTAAATCAAAATGATATGTTCGGTACGAATGGTTTACCGTTGACACCGCCATCAATCACAATGATCGGTAATTTTCATTCGTTTGTTCATAGTTTTAATGCTGCCAACACATTAACGCCTTATTTGACACATTATCTGGATTGTATACGTAGTAAAAATGGTATGTCTATCAGATTTTTTAAATGCAATCTAATTTTTGAAATATTTTCAAACTGAATTAGAACGAATTACATTGGTATTTGAACATTATGCTTCGTGTGTAGCAGAAGATAATTCACCGATATCCAACGAAAATTTGCAATCAATTTTACAATGTGGTCTATATGGATTATATCATTTACATTATGTGATTGGTGCTGTCCATGGCCTTATATCACCAAGTGCATTCTTGACAACAAATGACCAGAAAATTCCTTACAAATTAACACATTGGGCAATTAATATCATCACTGACATGGGTCGTCTTTGTCAAACTCGAATCTATCCAAGTAGGCGTTTATTATATTTTATGGGATTATATTTGATTTGATTAAATTTTCATTGTCATTAGATGACATTCGTTTCATATCCCCCGAACAATGTCTGTTATTGAAACCAACAAAGAAAAGCGATATCTGGTCGTTTGGTTTGTCAATCTTATACTTAATGTTTCCGAATCAACGTCAAAATTTTCCTTACAATCCATTGGAATTGATAGATGATTCAAATGGCTTTAATTCGATAATGGTAAAACTTGGCATCGAAATTAAAGATTTATCTGAAAAATGGATGAATTTTTTTCAATCAACTTTAAATCCAAATCCAAATGAACGTTTATCGATCAAAGAATTGATTGCAATAATGGCCATTCCAGAGCCACAGTATTATACGACATATGAAAAATTCATTAAAACTAAATCTTATCAAAATGTTAACGAAGTAAATGATGAAGAATTTTTTAAAATTAGCAATTTTATCAATTTACACGAATTCTATTATCTGTGGTCGATTGCATATCCATCAAAAGAAACGAATAAAGAAGAGCAAAAAATTCCTACAATACTCTCAATACCTAAGCTAGTCATATTGGAAAATGAATGCTCGAATCAAGATAACTGTGATAGTAATCATAATCGAACAGTCCCTGATGATGAAAATAATTTAATTGAAAAAATTATGTCCATAGATCTGGAAACCAATTGGAAAATGGTACGATTACCTTCGAACTGTGATTTTAAACTATTACCCGTCGATACGATAAATCAACGTTTACTCAAATTATCTAGCGAAATTTTCTCTCCTCTACTTATTTCCGATGCTAATCTTTTCAATAATAGACCCGAATCTAAACAAAGTTGTGAATCGCTACCGTTGCCTATCCGTGAAATGGATTTTGATTATCAATGCGAACGACTTTTTCTATTTAAAGCTCTATTAAATGGCTATCCTTTTCTACGAAATCAATTGATAACCGAATCCAAAACCGATATCTGTCCTCATTATCGTGCTCAAATCTGGTGTTCATTGCTCAACGTTCGTTGGAAAGATAAATTATTGTTTGAACAAATTGATAAAATAAGCAAAACAACAACCGATCGACAAATTGCTGTAGATATACCTCGTTGTCATCAATACAATGACCTGTTAGCATCGGCCGAAGGACATCGAAAATTAACTCGAATATTAAAAGCATGGCTTGCATATAATGAATCTAATGGTGAAGTATATTGGCAAGGTCTTGATTCATTGGCAGCACCGTTTGTCATATTGAATTTTAACAATGAATCACAAGCATTTGCTTGTTTTGATCATTTTGTTCGTAAATATTTACATGGATTTTTCCAAAAAGATAATTCAGCAGCAATACAGGAATATCTGGCCCTTTTTCAGGTGATCATTGCCTTTCATGATCCAGTGCTCAGCAATCATTTAGCATCATTGAAATTTGTTCCGGATTTATATGCCATTTCATGGTTTTTGACAATGTTCACCCATATATTACCATTATATCAGATTTTTCAGCTTTGGGACACATTAATCCTAGGTAAATTATTACCTTAAATCATATTATTATTATAAATGATCAATAGATTTTTGTTATTTTTCTCTTGTCAATGATTATTTTATTTTTCCATCGTTTTCTTATTATTAGTCTCATAATTTTTTTTCCCATTGTAGGAAATGAATCCTTTCCTCTTTTCATTGGTTTGGCCATTCTTCATCAGTTACGTGATCGAATATTGGATTTTACATTCAACGATTGCATCCTAATATTTAGCGATTTACCACAGATTGACATTGATCGATGTGTGAGAAATTCGATAAAATTTTTCTGTTCAACGCCTAAATCGATTAGTAGACGAAATTTGTGGGAAATACATGCACTTAAAAAATATCCTCGATTGCCGAGGATCAATATTGAAGATCTTACCATATTGGTCGATCGGCTTAATCTATCCAATTGTACAGCCACAGCGGTAGCTTTCGATCAACAACAATCATTGTGTTCGGATTGTGGTCGTAACACCCAACTAGTTCTGATTGATTGCCGTTCAAAAGATGATATAACCAAGTACGGTGGTACCCTTATCAATTCAGTACGATATGAAGATTTTTATCAAGAATTACAAAAAGAAATAACAAATGGCAATAAAACTAATCGGTCAACCAAATGTCATTATCAACAGCCACATGGTAAACATGATTTAATTATTGTCATTGATTCAATTGAAAAAACATTAGAATTGATTGAAAATTTCTCCATTCCTCGTGTTTGCTATCTGGATTTATCATCATCAGATCCAGGATATATTCCAAAATGTTTACTCATTCAATAATCATAAATTTTTATCTATGTATTTTTATTTAAGTAATTGAATAAAAAACCTGTGTTTGACATATTCCAATTTTTTTAAAAATAGATTAAAATGAAGATAATTTATACAATGTAAAATTTAATTGATTTGAATAATGAATGAATATTACCAATGTCTGTGAATTGTAACCATATTTCGAAGCTGTTATTCTATATGGACGGCCAGGTGTTAATAAACGCCAATAATCACCTGTTTTATATGTGGTAACATTTTTATCAATTCCTTCGACAGAAATGATGGCCAATTCTATTGGTCTACCATGATTATCATGGACAAAACCATGTACACCGTTATAAGTGGAATTGATTAGATTTAGTAATGAATTCTGATGTTGTTGCCAATATGTTTCTAGTTCATTACTAAATGGATATTTTTTACATCCAACTTCAATAGTTAATTCAAAACAATTTGTATTTAAATAATTCCAATCTTGCATTCCACCAGCAACTGGATACCATTTTGCACCGTTTGTAATACCTTGTAAAAAATAATCATCTGTTCCATCACATGAATCAAGACAACGACCATTATTGGCATACATGTATGGATGATTCTGTTCAAGAATAATAATCAATAAAAGATATTAACAATAATTTTTGATGATAATTTTATCTGTCATTTTATTTACCTTGGAATATATTAAAGATAAATGACGAAAAACATCGTTATCAGGACATTTTGTTTCATTTTTAGTCATTTCTTTATTATTATCAAATGGATAATTAACAACTAAAGCTCCACCATGCAATGATACGGATAAAACGAATGGATATTGTTTTATCCACTGCATAACAATTGTCGTTTCTATTTCTGGTTCTTCATTCACATCATTATGAATAAATTGATCGGGAAAATTGCGATTTAAATCTATTTTGTTAGCATTACTACGACCAATAAGTCCCATACATTCTCCTTCCATTGCATCTTCATAACCATCAGGATTTATTGTCGGTACGATATGAATACGTAAATTATCAACTAATGATCTAGTCGATGAATTTGAATGATATGTTGACAAGAGATGATCAATCAAGTGTAACAATAATTCACGTCCAACTACTTCATTACCATGTATATTAGCAATTAGTTTGATTTCAGCTTCACCTGGTTCATGAACACCAGGTTGATCACTGATTTCCAATACTTTAATGGGATTTTTTCGATTCGAATAGCCAATCGTATATAAACGTGTTAATTGTGGATAATATCTGGAATAAGCATCAAGAATTGATAAAAGTTCATTATTATTATGATGATAATAGCCAATTTTTGGTTGCCGTAATTGATCAGGCCATTCGGTACGATTTATAATTGAATAATAAAGAATAAAACCAAGTAATAAAAGCGATATTAATATACCCAAAAAAATTAATATTCCAATAAGAATTTTACGTGCTGAAATATGGAAAAGAATTTTCCAACTATTCATGATTTGTCGTTGTCGTTGTTGTTCATTAGCAATTGATTGATTGAAGGATTTATTAGAGGTACACTGAACATCGTCATCATCATCATCATCATCATCATTATTATGATCATTATTGCCGTGAACAATTGTCATCGAAACATCATAACTGGTATCCATTAATTAGGATGGATAGTCGAAAAAAAATTCAATGTTTTTTCTTCTATTAAACGTAATCAATTTTGATGTATGTATGTTGTGGTTGATTTAATATATACAAAGACATGACCACACACAAAACAAATCAGGCAAATCAATAAATATCACGAAATATGGCCATTATTATATTCAACTACTATACAAATCAATGATGATGATGATGATGATTATGTGGTTAATGAATAGATTGAACTTGAAATTGCTGTAGTCATCATTATTTTTTTTCGTCACACACATACACACACAAACATTTGAAATTTTCACAAATGAAAATATAAAAGTCAAAGAAATCTATGATTTTTCCATGTATATATTTAATATTTATATTAGAAACAAAATCAAATCGAACAAATAGAACTTGAATTTATAGCAATTCATAATTCGATGATGAATCTATTTATTTCATTCACAAATCGATGAAATTGTAATCCATGAATAAAAAAAAAGAGAAGCAGCATAGATGTGGATGGGTTCAATACATCATCGATTCAAAGCTTTACCAAACCATACTGAACACCTACAAATATCTTCCAATATACGTGATGATCAATACAGTCAATTATTATTATTATTGAATCGAATAAATTGACTGAAATGACAATTGTTCATCATCTGATGGATAAAAATAACAATGAATGAACACCTACACACACACACACACACACATTCAACAAACAGACAAAAAAAACAATAAACACCTGTACAAACTTAAAAAACAGACATAAAACATATTTGCACGCGACAAGTTTTTTTTTTTTTTTTTTGATTTGTGTCTACCACCATCATCAGATTGAACGAAAAAAAATCAGATTATTTAACAGGTTTATGCCAAATGGTTGTTAGATTTGTATTCGTACATTTTGATATTATCAATTTCAATTGATCAATTTTCAATTTACTACTATCAATCAAGATAATTATAATTATAAGCCAGAAAAAAAAATGTTAAACGATCAAGAACAACAACAACAACAACAACAAAAAAGATATATATAGTTATTATAATTCAATTTGTATCAAAGATTTGATCATTATAATCATCATCATCATCATCATCATCATTAATCGATAGCTAATGATTAAATGATGAGGATCATCATCATCATCATTAATTGAATAGGATTGAACATGTGGATTATCATAACTGGTTCAAAATGATCAAGAAGGATTTTCATTCAACACACACACACACACACAGTGGCAAAGGCCGATGGCCATAATCATCATTATATATAAAAAAAAAACAACGGCCGACTACTTGTTGTACAGGAAAAATTTTTTTTTTTTTTGTTACATTAGATTATTTTTTTCAATCAATTTATGTTGTACACACACACACACATATATATAATTACCGGCTAATTATAAATCATTGGATCATCATTAACAGCTATTAGCTATTGAAGGAAAGCAACAAATATTGGTGTGTGTGTGTGTGTGTGTTGTAAGTAAATCGATTCCACATCAATCGACCAATTATAAAAAAGTTTTTCCATCATTTTTTTTATTCGAAATTGATTCAAGACACGTTTAAACGTTTAACTAATTTGTTTCACGCCCGGTTTAAATTATTAACTGATTTACACGAACACTGTGTACCTGCACACACACACACACACACACACACCTGAACACAATCGTATTGATTAATTAAACATTAGGAAAAAAAATATCGATCTATTGATTTATCTGTACGAAATTGATTCCAGTTTGGGGTGTGTGCATTGGTCTGACGCCCACACAATCATTGAATTTAATTTCATTCCAATATTTATTTCATGATGATGATGATGATAATGGTAATAATAATTATTATGATTACGATACACATTTTCATTCATATTTATAATTCGTGAACAAAAAAAAAATGTTTTCATCTTTCATTTCCATTGATTCCTATCAAATCAATGTGATAATAACAATGACGACGATGATGATGATGATGATGATGATAATAATAATAATCGAATTCGTGTTGTTTCTGAAAAACTTTCAAAAAAGTGGCTTAAACAAAAAATTCAATTTTCTAAAAAAACAAAAATCAAGAAAGGTGATGGTTTTAGATGAAATTCAATTTTTAGTTTGCTTTTTTTTTTTTTTGCTGCTCATAGTCACAATCTGACTGTTGTTGTTGTTGTTGTTTGTATAAACCTAGCAATTATATCAGACAAGTTTTTTTGAAGCTTCGAAATTGATTGATCTTTTTTTTTGGCTATTAGTTTGTGTTGTATTCTTCTTGTTTTTGAAAATTAAAGAATTATATGTTGACCTGATGATTTTTGTTTCTTATTTGAGAGAATCATTGAAAATGATCATCATCATTGATGATGATCGGTGTTGTGAACAATTAATTCACTAATTGAATATATCTAACATAGTAATGATAGGCTATAATTAGTGACTTACTTACATTCCAACATTGTTTTATAATCAAATCTAAATTGATATTTAAAAATTCATAATGATCATTTATGATTGGTAGAAAAAAGGAGCAAATGAATCAATCAGTCAATCAATCAATCATTCATTCATTTCCGGAAAATTTTCAACTATTAAAATTTTCAAACACCTATGACACCTATGTACTTATTATGAATTTTTTTTACCATTTTTTTCTAATTAAATTAATATTTATCAAAAATTCAAATCTTTCATTAAACCAATAAATTTGTTCAATTGTAAATAACAACAAACAGATACACGATTTCTCAATTACGTTCAATTATTAACACAAACACACACACACAGACTGAACTAGATGAAATAATATTTAGACTTACAGTAATGATGATAATCAATAACGACTACATAAAAAAAAGAGAGAGAAAAATAATTATGATTACTTGAACAAATAAACAAACAGCATGTTTCATGTGGAAATTGATCAGGATCAACATGTCTGATGATAATGATGATGATGATGATGATAATCAGTAACAAGCAAAAGAAAAATAAAAACAAATCATTGGCCTTGCATGCTGGGCCAGACTTTTTTGAAGTGGGGAAAGAAGAAAAAAAAAGAAATTTGTTTTGACAGCAAATATTCATTGACCATAGGCTTGTTGGTTGTATTTTTGATGAACAACCACCAGGCTGTGTATGTGTGTGTGTATGTGATCATCCGGCCCAAAGATGAATCGTAGTATAGAAAGAAAATTAGTCCAATGATTGCGTGTGTGTGAAAAAGCCACAAAATGAGTCTATTTATTTATTATACGAGAAAAAATCATCATCATCATCATCATTGTCAAGACACGAGCCTCAGATAGAGAGAGAGAGATAGAGAGAGAGAGAAAAATCAATTTTAATTTATTTCCATTTAACCAACATATTCTGCTCTACAACAAACATTTATATTTTGTCGAATCTCGAAAAAACAACAACCAATGTATATATGTCAATTTATTTTACTATTTTGTTTTTTGTTGTTGTCGTTTTTCATCACATTGCATATTCTGTATCCACAGTCTTAAAATTTTTTTGCATTTAGGCCACAAAAAATAAAATAAAAAAAAAAAAGCCAGCCATCTGGTACAACTGTGAAGAAATGAATTTTTTTTTGCTTATTTTATTTAGAAAATTTATAACATTCACGAATTTTTTTTTTCGTCGCTTTTTCTCACTTGGCAATAATGATGATGATTAAAACAAGATTGATAAATGTGAATTCCATTCATTCAAACAATCCATTCAACAAGTCCATTCATATGAAATTTTTTTTTAAAAAAAAGAAAAAGAAAAAGCTACGATCTCATTCTTAAAAAAAATTCACTTGAATAAAGTGTAAATTGCTCCATATATTTTTTTTCCCCCTGTTCATCTTGGCATTTTAAATTGGTAAATTTTTTTTTCAACCACAACTTGAAAAAAAAACTTGATTAACGCAAATATTCTTAACGAACGAATAAATGACCAATATTGAAATGAAAACACACACATTTAGTGTTTATTGAGTTAACTTGTTGTTGTCGTTATGAAGATGATGATGATGATGATTGGTATTTTGACTGGAGCTGTCTTAGTTAATTATTATTAACTAAAACAATATAATAACATTCCAATGGCAAACCCGGCAAATCATTTTATGTTAAAGAATTTTCTTCAATTATCGCCACATTCGACACGGCAAAATTGGCAATTAGTTTCTTTTTACAATTAATGTCTATGTGTGTGTGTGTGTGTGTGTATGTGTAGGATTGAGAGAAAAAAAAACAAATGCAGCAAAAAAAAAGAAGGAAAGTCAAAAGTGAAATATTGCCATTTAGTTTTTTTTTATTATGGATCATCACGGCTATATAAACAAATAAATCTTTTTTTTTCTGCCAAATTCCACATGATGATGATGATGATGATGATGATGTGTGTGTGTGTGTGTGTGTGTGTGCAAGTGTAAATTGAAGAGGCTCACAATTTTCAATTTCCTTGCAATTTCAAATGATTACAATTTGATGGCATCATCATCATCATCATCATTTATGTTTGGGTAAATTGAAAAAAAAAATTGAAACATAAATTGAAAAACACAGCATGATATATTTATCTGAATATATATATTAAATACAAATCAAACAAACAGAATAAATAAAATGGTTCCAAAAATAAAACAAACAAACAAACAACAAACCAAACAGTACAATACAATACAAGACAAGACAAGCAATCGATTCATTTTAATATTCATTTCTGTTACTTTTTTTCATATATATAATTAATTAACATTGTTAATTTATTCATTATATGATTATGATGATTAATAACGATTAATTAATCAATCAATTAATAGATTTATTGCCAATTATATATCATCATTGTCATCATTTCATTATGATCAATAGAAAAATTTTTTTTCCACATCAAACAAATTGTCTGTTGATAAATTTTATCTATCTTTTCTCTTTATCTCATCATCATCTACACCGCATCATTTTTCAGTTTGTGTGTAAAGAGAGAGAGATGATGACAGAATAAATGTTTGCATCAATTTTCTTTTTTTCTTTCAATGATGAACAATCTTAAATAAAAAGTACAACAATTGAATACTTTGAGTAAATATTTATCTTTTATTATCCCAATGATAATATCAAGTTTATATGGTAAGTGTTTGAATTTTGGATTCTATAGTTTTGAAATTTTTCGTAATACTTTAGTAAAGAATTTACACTATATATGGAATTATTCTAGGAACAATAAATTCCACATAAGACACGATGATGATGATAATGGAAATGGAGTGGAAAATTTGAAGAATTATGTTTTTGTTTTATATGTATGTGTGTGAAAGATCGAAAAACAAAAAGAAAGGAATATATCACCATCTGTTTTTGTTCATATTATGATTATGGATATGATGATGATGATGATGATGATGGCTATAAAAACGGGGGGCAATAATCGTTGACAATATCATCATCATCATCATCATACATTATAATGTTGTTAATGTTGGATAAATGACAATATAGAGAGAGAGAAGAGAAAAATCGAGAAAAAAAAAAAACAATGTTCGGATATGAAACCATCATCATCATCATCTGAATAGGGTTCAAACATATATCAAACAAACAAACAAACAAACATTCCATGTATAATGTGTGTTTGTGTACAATAATAACAATAATAATTAAATTGTTCAAATAAATGTGGTATATATGTATGTTTGAGGATTATTATATAATGAATGAAATGAAATGATGATAATGTAGATTTCTATTGGTCATATTGTGTTGTATATAATTTCATATCAAACTAACAAATTATTCTGGTCATCGTAATAATTGTGTGTTAATGATTATTACCAAATAGATGAAGAATTCGTATATATTTTTTTTTTTTTTTGGAAGTATCGAGTATTTTATTTGAGATTCGAATCAAAAACTCAGTAAGGTTATTTGCGAAGCGCGCGCATATATTTTTTTTTTTTTTTTTTTTGTATATCATCACCACAATCATCATCATCAACACATAATCAAGAAGAAGAAGAAGAAAAAAAAATTGTGATAGTGTAAAGTGGATGATGATTTGTATGTATCAATGTTTGTGTGTACACAATTAGACAAAATGTTGTTGAATCGATGAACAGAATTTTTTTTTCCTTTCTTAATCATTTAATAAGAAAGAGAGAAAAAGATATTTTCAAACACACACACAGTGTTGGGATATTCATATCCACACCCACTTGATAACAATCTTCCAATCATTAAACAATTTGATTTATACATATAATGGTTGATAAAGGCGGAGCATATTAATTTTTTGTATATACAAACATACAAGCAATGAATTTATTTCTGAGGGTATCCAGTAATGTTAACACAATCTATAGACCACGCCTTAATATGACGATTTTTTTTATAATAATCAATGCTATAATGGGCAGGGTTGCACTTCTCTTCATCATTATTATTGTGCAAAAAAAAACTGATGCATATACAAAACATATATATATATGAATTCAAGTTTTTTTTTCACATTGAAAGTCGTCGTTTTTCTCTCTTTTTCTTTATCATCAATTTTTCTCTTTCTCTCCATAGAACATTTTTTCACTTCTAAATTTTTATATATTCAGTTTAAATCTTTCAACCATACCGGACGAATCATCAGTGTTGATTTTGCCATTCATTACAGTGGTAAAAATTATTACATCTTGTTTGTTTGGATTGTAATAATAATAATATTTTGTTTTTGTCATTCTCTAACTATTTAGTTGAATGTAATATTCAACTTGTTTGTGCGCATCCACATCATCATCATCATCATCATTAGAAGCATGTGTGTACGTGTATATATACAGGATCATAATCATCAATTATCAATTGCTATTTATTGAAGTAATAATCATCATCACAATTATTAATATAAAAACTAAATGAATGATGATGAGATGATGTTATTTTTTTTTGCTTCCATTTTATATGTTAATGACGTTTATACATTTGATTTATGTTAAATCAAAAAGATTAATAAATCATTGATTGTGTTTGAATATTTCAAAAAGAATTTTAAACGATTTGGATTATAATTGCTCAATTCTTTATATGTGTTTGCTAGTGTGTTTTTAATCGAATCATATCATTTGTTTTTTGATCATTTTTTTTCCATTTGTTATTGACAACAAATTATCATCAATCATTTAGAATTGCATTTTTTTCCACGAATAATTGTGAATAATGTAATGATGCCTTTGGCGCCACAATTATCTGTGCCACATTTGGGTCAATTATCATCAACATCACCAAAGATTCGTAGTAGTAATAATAATAATAATCCTAATCATCATCATTTTAATAACAATCAAACAATAAAAATGATTAAAGCTTCAAAACCGAAGCTTTCATTTAGCATTGATGCTATTGTTGGTAAAAGGAAAACATTGGATCATCATTCATCAGCCGCTATAACAGCTATAACAAGTCAAGATGATGAATCATCTAATGATACAATTAATAATGAAACAACATCATCATCAACAATGTCTGATCTATTATCATCATCCGTATCGGCTTTTGAAACAAGACCATTAAAACGTCGTTTAAGTGAAACATTTGCTGCCGCTACTGCTGCTGCTGCGGCCGCTGATGTCGATCTAAATAATGATCGTCATTCAGTTAGTCCAAATTCAATTGGTCACGATCATCAACATCGACGATTATCACCAAACAATTTGATTGGTGGAAGGCAATCAATTTCACCACCATCATCTAATGGTACATCAACAACAATGCCACCGGATATTGGATCTCCTGGTAGAAGTCTTTCACCATTATCATTAGTGACTAATCATAATAATCAATCATTGATTGCAAATACTCAACAACCACCGAGCTCATTGACGAATATGGCACAATTTTTGGCTGCTGCCCATAATAATCGTCAATCATTGTTGACGGGATCCACAACCGGATTGGTAATACCATCAACACCACCACCACCACCATCAACAACATCAAGTCATCATTCATCATCATCACCAATGTCACCCGGACAATTATCATTACCGGTTTCATCTGCCGCATCAACGTCCACATCATCATCATCATCATCATCATCAACAACAATAACAACTTCGACGACGACCACACAACAACCCCAAATATCAACAATTGGACATCCAAATCATCCGATGATGGTAGCAGCGGCTGCCGCAGCTGCTGCAGCTGCTCATTCACAACTTCCATCATCAGCTACGGGAGCAACGACAGCAGCACCACCACCTCCAACAGCATTACCATCCGATTATCAACATGCAGCAGCATTTTATCCATGGTTTCTTCGTGCCAATCCATTTGCTGGCCGTTTTCCTGGTAAGTTTTCTAGTATAATATATTCAAGGAGTGTTAAATAAGGAAAGAGTAAAGTGAGAGCTTAATCAAAATCATGATATTAATTTTGATTATGATTATGATCAATAAATAAAATGGTGGTTAAAATTAGATGATCATCACACACACACACACACACACAAGATTTATATATTTATGAACGATCAAATTTGATTTGTTTGAATTTCAATTCGTTTCTCTTGCCTTTCAATATTGAATATTATCTATATCTTCATTTTCGTTTAAAAAACACGAATGAAAATAAAAATCATCATGTTGATATGATGATCATCACTATTGATCGACCATTTTTTTTTTTTTGGTTATTAGTTTTGATTTTTTATTAGTTTTGGAAGTGGGAAAAAAAATAATTGATCATATATTGATTATCAAAATTATTCAACAAAACAAATGCAATTTATCAAATGTTTAAGAGCAGGATTGGGGAGAAAACTAAAACGACGAAGCCAACGAAAAAAATGATAATAATCAGCAAGCAATTATTCAAAAATAATTATTAAAGCCATGACATTTCATCATCATGATGATAATATAGCCTTTGGTGTTTATGATGATGATGATCACCATTATGATTATGATTATGATGATCATCATCGTTCATCAGGAAAAAAAAATTATAAAGTGTTGATTCAAAGTGTATGCGTTTGTGTTAATCATAATATTCATCAAATATTCAGGCAAAAATAACAACAACAACAACAACAACAACAACGACGACGACAAGCATAAAATAATAATCGCATTATAAGCTAACCTCTATGATGATGATCATGATCATCATCGACATCATGGTAATAAATTATAATTATCACTAAACCAAAATATTGATCGAATTTGGAAATACAAATCAAATATATTCAAAAATAATAATAATCATTTTAGATTTTAAATTGCAGATATTTGCAAAATTTGATGTGTATCGTTCGATCGATTGATGATAAAATATGAAGCCCTTTTTTTGGGTGCCGATTATTTATGGATCATGATGATGATGATGATGATGAAATTAAAACAAACATCACATTTTTATGAACATGTTGATTTTCATCCAGTAGAAAAAAAATGACAAATTTCTCATAAACAAAAATATTGGAAAAAAAACAGAAATAGAAATAGAAATTGAAATCAATCGAATCGAAAAACGAACAAACAAACGAAAAAAAAATTAATTGCAATTTAGATAAGATTAGTATTATATTCAGTTTTATTTCTCTATACGGTCAGGCGGTTTACTTTGTTGTTTTTGTGGATGCTTTGGTTTGCATTTTTTTTTCTTTTTTTTAGTGAATTTCTTAAATTTCGATTTGCCACTGTTGATTATACAGGAATGTGCATTTATAAAAAAAAAGACAAGCCGACATGACTTTGTTGTTTTTTTTATTGTTGTTGCCAGCCCTTTTTTTGGGTGCCGATTGCGGTTGTTTAAAACAAACATCACATTTTATGAACATGTTGATTTTCATCCAGTAGAAAAAATGACAAATTTCTCATAAACAAAAATATTGAAAAAAAACAGAAAAATTTTGCAATTTAGGTTTTATTTTTTTGGTTTGCATTTTTTTTTTTCTTTTTAGTGAATTTCTTAAATTTCGATTTGCCACTGTTGATTATACAGGAATGTGCATTTATAAAAAAAAAGACAAGCCGACATGACTTTGTTGTTTTTTTTTATTGTTGTTGCCATTGCGGTTGTTTGGCCCAAATTTGGGTTTTTTTCTGCTGATCATCATCATCATCATCATGTGGGTGTGTGATTTTTTCGGCGTTTTTCATTTAGGTTAGGTTAGCTGTGTATATGTGTGTGTGTGTGTGTGTGTGTTTGTGTGTGTAAGTGTCTGGTAATCGATTTTTTTGTGAGATTTATGATTAGATTTTTTTCTTTTTTTGGCCTTTAATCGATTTTTAATACTTTTTTTTCTATTTTTTATCGTTTTTTTCTATTTTGATTGATGTTAATCAAAATCATCATCATTCGATTATAGGAATGCCATTTGATACACCATTGGGATCATTTTTGCTACCTCCATTTAGAAAACCTAAACGTATTCGTACAGCATTTAGCCCTGGACAATTATTGAAATTAGAGCAGGCATTTGAAAAGAATCATTATGTTGTCGGTAATGAACGTAAACAATTAGCCAATCATCTTGGTCTCAGTGAAACACAAGTAAAAGTTTGGTTTCAAAATCGTCGTACAAAACATAAACGACAAAAACAAGAGGATGAAGAATCCGGTTCAAACGGTGGTACTGGTAGCGGAAATAATACAACTAATGGTGATAATAATAATGGTTCAGGACAAAGAGATTTTAATACAGATGATGAAGAAGAGATTGATCTTGAAGATGAAGAATGTGGTAGTGGTGATGATCAAGATGATGGACATCATCATAATCATCTTCATAATCATCATGGTACAAATTCACATCATCATTTACATGGTGTTAGTGGATCAGCAGCGGTAGCTGCTGCTGCAGCGGCAGCAGCAGCCGCAGCACAACAACATGCATTAAAATTTGCTAATATGCATCATCTTTGGTATCAATCAGCAATGGGTTTAATGGCAGCAGGTGGCACAAATGGACAGGATGCCGGTCATCATCCACCAGTCACATCTTCTGGCTCAAATTAAATTATAAATGAAATTTTAAAAAAACAAACAAACATTGTTGTATATACGATAAATATTCATCGCTATCATTGTTTGATTATAATTTATTGAAATTGAAATTATAAATAAAATTTGTCAACAAACACGCACACACAAATACAAATAGTCATTTTTAAATTGATAGAATCTTTTTCTCAACAACAACAACAACAATAAACAAAAATCATTTTAAATAGATAATGAGAATGAGAACAAATCATTTCACACAAACCTAAACAGACAAACATTTTTTGACTTTGATCATGATTTGAAAAAAAAATTTGAATTGTCATTATTATTATGTAAATAAATGGAATGAATAAACAAAAATTATTTAATGATCTGGATTCAATTTTCGTTGAAAGATAAAAAGATGATCAAATCAAATTGAAATTTGTGTGTGTGTGTGTGTGTGGGATTTGATTTGTGAATCATCCAGATGTTCAAGATTTGTTTAATTTTCTCTTTTTAATTTATTCAATAAAAATAATCAATGGTAACCCAATTTCTCTGTGAATATAATCACAGTATCCGCAATCATTTTTTTTTTCATTGAATTTCTTCATTAACACCTTAAATGATGATGAATTTGTTTCGGAATTTTAATTTTTATTTCTCAAATTTTTACTGCTAAATTATTTGAAATTTTAATTTTTATGTGTTTTTTTTTGTTCATCGTCCTTATCACAAAATCCCATTACATTCATCATTAATTACATTCACTATTAGTATGCACCATATTGGTGATAATGATGATAAAATGTTTGTTTTGTTTTAATGGTGTCAAATTGGCAATTATGATGATGATAATAATGATGATGAGATACATGTATTGAAATACAAAACAACAGCAACAACAACAACAACAACAACAAACCCTTGGCCTGAATATTTTTTCTTGCCACATGCACACATTTACAATTTACAATTTTTTTTCCATTCAATATCCGATATGGTTCAGATGAAAAATAAAACAAATTCATCAATTTCAATGTATCATAGGCGTATTAGGACAATAAATTGATCCAACAGGTGTGTCAGATAATGATTGTAAATAAAAACAAATGTCGAAATCAAAAACCTATATAAATGAAAATAAAATTGGTTGATTATGATTCTAATCATTTTGACTACACAATAATGATGATGATGATGATCTTATGAATGGAAAAAAAATGTTAAATGGTTTTTTCTATTTGTTTTCTTTTGTTTGTCGATGTTAATCAATGAATGATTTGTTTTTTAATTGAAATGAATGTTGTTAATGCTGCTGTTGTTGTTGTTGTTGTTGTTCTCCTTTTTTTTATTTTTAATGATCATTATTTACACCTGCACACTCTGATTTGTGTATGTGTGTGAAAGATAGAGAAAAGAGATGAACATTATTTTTTTTTTATTTACCACACTAATCTGTGCACAAAATAATCATCATCTTTTGTGGGTAATCATCATCAAGTTTTAAATAAACATTATTCGGAAACAAGATGGAATATAGTGAGAGAGAGAGAGAGAAAAAAATCATTCAATGAAAGATCATGATCATGATGATGATGATGATGGTAATATAATAAAATAAAACTGACTTCACTTACACACATCATACACATTAAACAGAGAAAGATATTATCTGTTGGCCAATAATAATAATAATAATAAGCCGTCAACATTTATCAATTGAATCTGTATGTTTTTTTTCTGTTGTGTCTATGTGTATTGAGTCAGTGTGTGTGTGTGTGTATGAATGTTGGACACGTTCCAAATATTTACAGGTAACGAAATGAGAAAACAAGAAAATAAAAAAAAAGATCATAAATTAGATGATTATTTGAATGGGTTGTTGTTGATGTTCATTGTTTATTTGTTGTTGGAAATAGATGGAAAAATCTATGATTCATATAAAACAAGGAGAAAAAAAATCAGCTTCCCAAAAAAAAAAAAGAATCATGAAAGCATGCAGCCCAAAAAAAAAAACGTAAAGAGTTTCCGAATGTTTAGAATCCGATTAAAGAATTTTTTTTTTCCTGTGATGAGAAAATGTTCTTTTTGAAATTCTAGTTGAAAAGTGAAAAAAACAACAACAACAACAACAATTCTAATATCAATTAATTACTGGCTTATCGATGGCATATTCATATTTTCTTTTCGCTCTTTATTTCCTTTTTTTATTCATCAAGTTGATTGGTCTTTGTTTGTGTGTGTGTGTGTGTGTGTGTGTGTATGCATCATATATGATCGGTTTAAAATTTTTTTTTTCTGGCCGCCGGTTTGTGATTTCTCGAAATGATCATGGTCATGATGATGATGATGATGATTTGAGCTAAGAATTTTATTCTAGTACCGAGTAGCCAGGTTGATTGGTTGGTTGTTTGGCACAACCACTCCTTTAAAATTTTCACAGCATGAATTATGGCCAAAATCATAAATGCTGTATTGCTGACAGATTTTTTTTTTTTGTTTCTCTCTTATCATTTGGAAAATGACCAGATTTGACTTTTTTTTTAATCAATCGATGATTTGATTTGAATATTTTTTTTTCTATTCACTTCTCATTTTAATGAATGAATCGATACTTATTTTCTTTACACATATAATCCACCGGATATAGTAACCGGGAAAGTATGATTATTGATTCATCAAAAATCAAAGATTTATAACATAGTCAATTTTCGAATTGATTTGCTAATTAATCCAATAGTCATATTGTGTGTGTTTGTTTGTTTATATATGAGATGAACAACAAATGGAAAAACAAATATTTTGGCAAATCAAGTATTAGATAGGATTTACTAGAGTGGTCATTCATAAAAATAAAACATTTTTTCCGGTCTTAGTCTTTAATGTTTGTATTATGATGATTATGATGATGATCATCATCATCATAATCACTTGCCATATAAACAAACTATGAATGAATGAATGAATGAATGAAAAAAAAATTGGCATTCATTCTGCGTACATGGTCAAGATGATCAGCCAAAAAAAAAGGAAAAAAAAATCATGGTTACTACTGATAATGATCATCATCATCATCATCTTTTTAGATATATTTTTTCTTCATGAATGTTCATATTTTCCGGCAAAAAAAAATCTTTTAGACTTTGAACATATTGAATATGATTATTATCATCATCATCATCATGTTATATATGATAGGTAAAGAACGATTTCAAAATTTCTTATAAATTCATCTGTAAATAGAGATGTTTCTATACAATTTTCTGTCTTATTCTGTCAGTTTATCATCAAGTTGTTGTTGTTGTTGTTGATTTTTCAGTTTGAATATTGGCATATTATTGACATTTTTTTTACTCCTAGTGTATAACAATATAATGAGATTAAGATCAATATTCATCATTAAAAAAAAAAAAAAATTATTTGATGATGTGATGTATGCGATACGGATAATATGCTAATGACGATGATGATATAATATCGTTAGTATTATGATTGAGATGTATGACAGTAAGAATTTTTTTTTTTTTTTTCTGTAATCTTAAACATCTAGACATGTATCTACACACACCTACTATTGTGAATAATATTGATGATGGCCCTTACTATTGTAACAATTTGAAATTTGTTTATTATGATGATTGGATCATCATCATTAAATATACAGTATATGTGATATGTTAGATTTCAAATTAAAAATCGTGACATTTCACATATATAAATATGCTAATCATAAGTCTTATTTATCTATTTATTTTCAAAAAAAAACACATGAAAAATATTAGACAGTGTAAGGAAAAATACATTCATTCATTCATTTATTGATTGCTTAATTGGATTTAGCCTCTAAATATTCTACCGTAATGCAATGAATGTGATCATCATCGATTCAACAACAACAACAACAACAAAAAATAATAACCAACCCATTTATATATGATTGATTGATATTTTGTTATCCATGCCATCCCTTCTGTTTTTTATTCATCTAACAATTTAATCGATGTGAATCAGAATCATCATCCTTAATTCTCAATTTAGGTTTTTGTTTTGCTTTGACACATCATTACAATCATCATCATCATCATATGAAAATTATAAATGAAAAATTGTGGCCATTCTAATTTGCTTTATTTATTTCAAATGTTTTTTTCCTTCTTTTTCTACCACCACCACCACCGCATGAGCATGACAGATTGACATATTTGGGTGCCATTTTTTCTTCTTTGGTCTTCATCTTTATGTTCATTAGACGCCCAAAAAAAATAAATAAACAAATGGATTTTCACTTTATATGCCAAAATGCCATTTGTTTGAAAACCTAAGTCAAAATGATGATGATGATGATCACCCATGTGTGTGTGTTACAAATTTTCCAATTTAAATTAACTAAATAACAACAAAGCGGATAATCGACAAAATGAATAAATAAATGGACATCGACAACAACAACAACAACAACAACAGAAGGAAAATAGCAAACAAACAGACAAGAAACAATAATAATAAGAGGAAAAAATGAGCAATAATTAACATGAGCATCTTTTTTTTTGTTTTTGTTTTTTTTTTTGGTGAAGCAAAATCTCAGTTCATACACAGACGCATATAAATAAAATATGCAAATTTTTGTTTTCTTTATTGGTTCGAGGTAAATTTCAATCCTATGTTTTTGTCGACCATAATTTAATGAACCTTTTTTTGTAACAAAAAAAAAGATCAATCTAGAATGATGAATATAAATGAAATGACAAATTCAGCGTTATTTTTTTTCTCCTTTCTTTCTTCATCTGTTTAACCATCCATTCATTCATTTATTGTTTTTAATTGAATTTGAATTCATTTCCATCATCATCGTGATTCTTTTTATTTTTTTTTTTTTGTTTGTCTAGCTACTAACTATTAATTTTGCACACACTTTTTTGTTGTTTGTTTGTTTAAACATTTAACCATCGTTAACAATGATGATGATGATGATGATTATGATTTTTTTTGTTGGGCGAACCATTATCATTGTAATTATCATTACATCAAGAATATATATGATTATGAAACATATTATATGAAATAGAGAGAATCAAAAAAAAAGTAAATAGTATCCGCGCCCTTATATAATCATTGGAAAGAGAAGTAGTAGAGATTTGTTTATTATTAACATTGTTCATTTGT